GGGGCCTGCGGCCGGCCCTCTGCAGTCATGAGAGGCTTATGGCGTGTCCGTGTATAGATACACGTGCGCTTGCGTGTGTATATATCTGTGTGCCTGTGCGCCTATGTAGATGCGCGCAGGTGCGCGGGCAAGGCTCGGTGTGTGAACGCCCTCAGACAGGGAAATCGGGATGTGCCAGCAAAACCTCCGCTTTTTCTGGTATCCTGTGTGTTTCCTGTCTCTGCTGCTACTGTAGGAAGCCGGGGAGTTGCTCTTTCCTGCCTGTTGGAGGTGCAGTGTTCTCCGGTGAAGTTGTCCTTGGGGAATTGTGTGGGTGTCGAGCACAGAGGAGCTGCTAGTGCAGGAAAATCGTGCTTGCCATTGGAAAGGAGTGGTTCTAATTGTAATTGATTTGAACCGAGAGCGTTTTGCTGAATTACAATTATTCATCCTTTTGCTTTTTGTGTTCGTCTACTAACAGTGGCCGGTGTCTGCTATTGTCCAGTGTCTTCTGTTTTCAGGAGAAATAAAAATCTATTTTGAAGGAGTACTGCTCGTTCACACTTTTCTTCTCCCCCCCCCCCCCGCAATGGCTTTAGTGACTTTAAAATTACATTTCTCTAACATACTTCTGTAGATATTGCAAGATACTACTTTAATTTTTTGTGTTTGTGTACACATACTGCTAATGGTTTTTTTATGTTACATTTAATTCATTATGATTCCCTAATTTTATGCTGTTGTTGTTTTGCAAAGCTTTTAATTAAAAACTATTCACTACCTGCACATTTAGCAGGCAGAATTTTAGACTATCAAAATATAGGTTAAAATCTTTCTAGAATGTTCTATATTACTATTTGCAGAGGCTTTAAACAAACAAAAAAGGCCTTTTCTTATTCTTTATTCAGGCTTACATTCAGGTGTTGAGTGGTATTTGTTCCAGTTGAGCATCTTGTTAATGACGCTCATATCACTTTGTTTCCTAGAGAACTGGTGAGCAGAAAACTTGTTTTTAATGAAACGTCCAGCACATGCTGAGAAACAAGTCAGAAAAACCAGCGGAAAGCTAATGTCATCTGAAACACCCACAGCCGGTCCAGAGGCGCCGATGGAAAATACCCTGTTCCCTGGAGTTCCTGATGTGGAAGGAAAGGCAAAGTCAAATGACGGTCCAGTAGAGAGACTGGAGGCAGGCTCAGGCAAGGAAGAATGCCTTGAGTCCATGTCCAAGAGGCAAAGGAAGAAGCTGTTGAAGCAGAAGCAGTGGGAAGAACAGAAAGATCTACGGAGGTATGGTTTGCAAAGGAGCTTCCCATGGTTCACATGTAATATTTGGTGCTAATAATAACGACGTGTCAGCAGAATTTGCTTGTGAATTGCTTCATCAAATCAAGGCAGTTGAACCAGTTTTCTCCCACGTCAGGTTTAAAGCAGTAGCCCCAGGCTACTTCGTCTGCACTTAAAGAGGCTGTGGAGGTAAGCGTCCCCTCCTCATACTAGAATTGTTCCTCGGCTTCAAGAGGATGTCAGTCATTTGTCAGAAGGGAGATGGAACGAGTGGCCTTGTTCCTTTCTGAATGGGCTGCACTTCTTTTCCTGGTGCTGTCAGACTTGAGACTCTTAGACACACTGAATAAAAGCAGCTGCATTTGACAACTGAAGTGCTGTGTTACAAGTTACGCTGGCTTATGTAGAGCTTCTGTTTTGCTGTGTTGAGAGAAGGTGTATCTGCGAATGGATTGATGGTGGTTTATTCTTATCCCACTGGCTGCCGGGTGCTCCTTCCCAAGACAGTGGTTGTTACTGTCTCTGAAATTTGATCTCCCTACTGCCTGCTCCTATCAGGAGGAAAGGAGGATGGAACAATTTCTTCAGAAGCCTTTTGAAAAACTGTTCAGTGAAATAGCATGTAAATTGCCTTACTCATTCTGATCCTGATAGTGTGATTTTGTCAGTCTTTTTGGTTAGTTCTGTTATGAGACTTGACTCAGAGCACCCTTAAATCTGTGAGACTCCCAGTACTGAGTTAAATGAATTTGTGTCAGATGTCTGTCTTTGTAGGTATTTAGAGAACTTCACAAAGATGGGGGGGTGTTTTGTGCTGGTTTCAGTGTAGCACAAATGCAGGCAGCAGGCTGAGTTTTAGCTGTCACAGTCAGAACAGCCACTTTTGCCTTAGAAGTCTGCATTTGTGTGCATAACACAGTACCTCAGCAGACTTGGCAGCACTTTTTGAGGATTGATTTGTTTGTTTACTTAGGCAGAAACGAAAAGAAAAACGCCAGAAGAGAAAACTAGAACGTCAGTCAAAATTGGATTCCAGTAGTGAGGGAAATGACAGAAAGTGCATGCGCAGGGAAGTTGTTCCTAGCACACTTCGCCTCGTTGTGGACTGCAGCTTTGATGACCTGATGGTCTTAAAGGTAAAAGGAACTTCAGATTAACTGAGTACATTTAATTTTCTTAAATATATACTGTATGCTCTCAGAATATTCCTATGGGTTAAAGGTCAAGTATTGTCACAATGATAAACCTGATTCCTCAGATTATTTTTGTATGTTAATTAAATCCCTGCGATTTTTTTTTTTTCATATAATAATGTCAATCAAGCACATGCATAGAGGTGTCTTAAGTACACCTGTGTGGAAGATGTGTGTGTCTCCTTGTCACCATAACCCCTTCACAGTGGGTGTTTTTTCTCTCAGGATCTGATGCCTGCACTGTCTGAGTAGTCACTTTTGCCAGTTAAAAGCTTCCTTTTTCTCTCTTTAACTTCTGACTGGTTCATGATGAAGCATTTTGTGATGGTCTCTATGAAGGACTAAATAAAAACAAATTGTGTTGTGTACAGGATGTTAAGAAGCTTCACAAGCAGATTCAGAGATGTTACGCAGAAAACCGCAAAGCTTTTCATCCTGTGCAGGTATGTTTGAGCAAACTGAACACTGACTGCTGCCAAGCACCAAACATGAGAACTGTAGTAGGAAAAGAAAATATATAAGCTGCCTCTTTCATAAGAAAATTACTTCTATTGTAACACACACATGTTATAAAGATACCCCTCTACCCTAAAGATGTTCCTCTATATGGAACAGTATGTGCATGCAGATGAAAAGTGCCAGATCCAAGTGTGCCACTAAGAGGCTGTTGATGCTCTTGGTTTTAGCTGTGACAGTTTTTAAAAAAAATCCAAATTTGTCTTTTAAACATATCACTAACTACATGAGTATGGTCCTAGTACCACTTCCATCTAAAAAAATAGTAATAGTTTTAGCTAACAGTTAAGGGTAGAAGGAGAGGAAACAGATTGTGGCAAATTGATGTTTCTGTATTTTGTACCTCTTGTGTGTTCTGTTTGAAGTTTTACTTGACCAGCCATGGAGGACAGTTGAAGACCAACATGAATGAAAATGACAAAGGATGGGTGAATTGGAAGGTGAATAACTGTGTATTTCTGTAAAAAGTTAGTCTTGATTGTAGTTGTTAACTATATTGTTAATTGTGAAGAACATGATTTTTTTCCACATGGGTTTTTTCTAATACAGGCAAGCAGTAGCATATTTGAAAAAGTGTTTTTGTCCTTTTAATTGATTTTACTTACATAAGGCAAAGACTGCTTCTCTTGCATTTAGATTTGATTTTTGCTTGAAAAACTACACACAGATCCATTTTTACTTTTATTGAATAAATTCCATTCTTGATAGACTAAGCAGGACGCCTTGATTTAGGCAGTTCCGGCGGTTGTCTGTCTTGACAGTGCTCTTTTATCCACGTCCAAAATAAGACTTGTCAGTTGGGATGTGATTCTCTCGTGTGCACCTTCACTTCCATCAGGCTGCCCCTCAGCACTGAAGTGTTCTGGAGAACACTTTCTGTTCTTGTCTTATGGTCAAACTCATGTTGGCTTTCCTTGTGACTCCCTGTTATGCCACCCATTCCAACAATTTCAAAGGAAGAGCACCTAGAACAAATAAAAGTAGTCCTGTTTCCAGCAGTTCTTGTACAATAACTGTTCCATGAGAGCTTAGCATAAACTTCTCTTACTGAACTGAATGTTAACTAAGTGTTTGCTTCTGGGTTCACTTTTTTAATGGACTTGAAAATCACTTGGATCCATAGGAGACATATGGCAACATTTGAAGGGAATCACAAGAACTTAAGGATTTGTAAAGTTCTTTTGGGATTTCAGAAATTTTCCTGTTGGTTTTTGCAAATCAGAGCTCTAGGAACTGGATTGTTTACACAGAAAATTAATCTGCACTGAGCTACGTATTTGAACATGAAGGAGGGATGTGGAATGATCACATACTGTTGGATTTATTTTGCCAGTCCCATCTTGGGTCTGTAAAGCTTGGCCAGCAATTCATCAGTTGAATGTAACTTCTTGTAACTACCTTTTTTTGAGGATATCCAAATTAGAACAGAGCACTACAGTGAGCTAATAAAGAAAGAAGACCTAGTATATCTTACCTCAGATTCCCCAGACGTTCTCAGAGAGCTTGATGAGAAGAAAGCCTACGTGATTGGAGGACTGGTAGATCACAATCACCACAAGGTAAACTGTGGGCCTGTTTCTTTTCAGCTTTTGATGGCACCTTATTTGGCATTGCTGTTCATGTGTAAACTAACATAATTAATAATGAGAAATGTTGAAGAAATATGAAAAATGCTTGTGGTGGTAGCAGACTTGTGTTCCAGAGTTTTCTTATCCTTTACTCTTCTGAAAAAGTACCGAGTGACTACAACCTGAATAACTTTGTACTTTAACACAAGCTCACCTTTAAAACAGGCTAAGGCTGATGGTTCTAGAGCTGCAACTGCTTGAACACTTTTCATTTGCAGTCCTTTTGACCGCAGGTCACAGTGTGACATTTATAGAAAGTGAGCTTTCCAGAGGTAATAGCCCTTGAGGCTGGTGCTGTCCTACAGGGGTAAGTTTCTTTTTGTAACCAACTTCTAAAGCAACATCCAGGCAGCACAGGCAAATCTCTTGGCAGAAAATGATACTTGTAGTAAATCTGTATAGACTGATCTGAAACAGTAGTTCTCAGTCCACTTGTTTTGTTATCTTTTCCCCAGGGTATTACTTACAGAAAAGCTGTAGAGCAGGGAATTGGTCATGCACAGCTCCCGCTTGGAAATTTTGTCAAAATGAACAGTCGGAAAGTTTTAGCTGTCAATCACGGTAAGTTCTAAATCATAAAATAATTACATTATTTTAGAATACACCAGTGATAATCACAGTTCAAACCCTCTGCACTGTAGTGCAGATACCTAAGCCTTGTTTTATTATGTAGGTATTTCTTGACTTCAGTTTGCTTCAGAATACACTGATTGCCCTGACCTTGAGCTATTATAGATATGGTTAAATGTAAATGATGGTGTCTTAGCCATTTAGAAGTGCACATTGTATCCTGTTGGCTCGTCTGAGGATTACTTGTGGCTTCCTTACCATCCTGGTCTTGTTTCCAGGTTTACTGTATAAGTGCATGAAATGTTGGAAACTATCCCACATTGTTTTATTGTAGTATACACATTTTATGCCAAGGGATGATGACTGTTTGTGATGCTTTCACCTCTTTGGACAGCTTTGTTCAGCAATAACTGCCTCAGTGCCTGTAGACTTTCCTCAGTTGGTGTCAGCAGTACTCCAACTAGTGAACTTTCATAACTGTATTTTTACCTGATTTCCTGGTTCTGATTGAAATATTCAATTGCTTAACCAAGCCTTGAATTCTGCTCCTTTTAAACTTTCAGCTTTATTATTAGGTTGTCTTCTAGTGTCACTAAACAAAAATACATGCAAAATGAAGCCTACACAGACTTTCATGGAAGTTTTTGACATGGTGTCAAAGTCTTTATTGTGCCCCACTGCACATTCTTCAGCTTATCTTACCTTGCTTTATTTCAAGTTGTTGGTTTTTTTTTATGTAACACATTGCTCAATGATAACTTTATTTTCTGAAAATGCTGTATTAGTGAGGCTGGCATTTGCATGATAATAACAACTATATAAGCATGGAGGAGGATATAGTATGGCACAGGACTTAAAAATTACCAAACCCTGTGTATTTGTAAGACTTTACATATTTCTAAAATTGCATCTTTCGCTGTTGCTTTATATAGAAAGGAAGAAATAATAAGAGCTAATTATCGGAGGGGGTCAAAATCTTTGTTAAAGTGCATCCACAGCAGGATTCCTGTCAAACATGTGAAAGCATTGGTGCCTGTACAGAAGGCACTGGTGAGACTGCAGTATTTGTCTCAGTCTCTGAGAGAAATACTGTCATGCAGCTGGAGACTTGGGGTATGCTTGGCTTCAGGCTGCAGTAGTAGCAAAATTGCCATGTCTGTTCCTGCCTGCATTTCATCGGCGCTGCTCTGAAGATGCTACAAGAGAATGCACGTGAACCTCTCTGTAAAGATGGATTTGGGGGTGTGTTGCTATCAGCAGTTCATTTACCTCCCTGTAAAAGAGCTGATGGACTTTTCTGATGTTTCAGTGTTTGAGATCATCCTTGCATACCTGGAGAAGAGAGACTGGAAGGAGGCTTTTTTCAGTGTCCTGCCACAGAGGAAAGGGGCTGTTCCTTTGGGAGAAGCCAATGATTCGTCCAAACATGCTCTGTCTGGAAAAGAAGATGAAGACAATGACTCAGACAGTAACTAGGCTTTAGAATGAGATGGTGAGAAAGATGAGACATGCAGTTTGTGGAATAAAATTGGGACATGAAGTAGTTTTACTTCAAAGACTGTCTGCAGCCCTCACAGTGCTAAATTGTCTCAGTGCTTGGTAGTCCCAGAACAGAGTTTTTGTGCATGAAGGGTTAAGTTAAATGCAGGTTTTTACCCTGAAACTTCAATATAATAATAACTTTTTTTTTAAAAAAAGGGAAGAAATTAATGGCAAATGCAGCATTTATTTTTTTTTCCAGGGAAGCTGTTTAATTTTTCTAATATTATTTTTTATACATACCAAGTTGGGTGTAAATGCCAAGAGCATTAGTAGTTACTATTTTAAAGTCTACATTCTTGTCTCCATTTCTGTTCAAAAGCTTTCTTAAAAGCAGTGAATGAGAAGTGTTCCTTTGGCTCCAAAACCTGTACCACCAGTGCCTGCTGCAAAGTGCGCATGAACACTCAAAACAAAAATTCTGATTTTCCTGAGCATCTCAAGAGACAATCACAAGCAACTGAACTGCCTGATTCATATATTGTGTTTAGTTAGCTGGGGTCAGTAGGTGAAGTATAAATGTGGGGTTAAGCCAGTGCTTTATACTTGAGTTTGAGAGGGATGGGTGTTATCACAGGTGCAAATCATGTGTCTTGTCTGGCACATGGTGCACACTGAGGTGACTTTTGATTATTTCTTCATATTCTCAGCAAAATTTATCACACAGCCTCAAAACAACACCAGGAGGGAGGAACTCTTCCTTACCGGTCACTCAGATTCAGTATTCCTGAATGGCATGATCCTGTATGTATTGTATTGTATTGTCTATAAAATATTTTTCCTTTAAAAAAAGTCATAATCTTAGTCTTGGCTGGATGTTCTGATTCTGACTCATCAACTGACTTTGTTGCTTTGACGAAGTAGTGAAGTGGACACCTTGGAAGTGAGGCTTTGCTTCAGCCCTGTGAGGCTGCCTATCCCTTTCTTCCCCAGGGAGTGACCAGGTAGCTGCAGTGTCTGAATAAGTGCAGCTCTCACACAGGTTTCTCATGCCTGAAGAGCAAGAGGACGTGGCATCCTAAGTGTTCCTCTCTGCTGAGCTGCAGTCAGAGGGCTGATTCAAGTATGCTTTGTGCACATTTTTCTTCCTCCCTTCGTTGTTACTGCTTTCAGGTGGACACTGCAGGTGGGATTCCTGTGGGTCCCTATGGTCTGTAAGAGCTTGGCAACCAACTGGTTATGACTTACACACAGTACACTTCGCTCTATACTTTCTAAAAGGCCAACAGAAAAGTTTCTTCTGTTAAAAGGATGCATTGTAGTCTCTTACTGAAGTTCCACAGGGCTTTTCTTAGGCTTTACAAAACCTTTTCTTCTTTGTTGCAGAAACTAGATCAGCCTTTTCATAAAAGCATTGCTGGTTTTATTTCTGTAACAAAAAAGGCAGCATAAGTGTACCCAGCATGTATTACACTGTACACAGCAATTACACTGATTCTCTAATTGAAATGCATAAAATTGCAAGGAACTGCACCTTTATAGCTGAGGTTCTGCATGTTAATGCACGTAGCACCTATTAAACCTGATCTAAGACTCAGTCTGTCCAAGGTTTCCTTAAGACCATTTCACACATGTGCCTTATTTACTCATGCTTGAGAGTATAGTAGCAGATGGTTCAGACAAACTGGGGACTTTCAGAGATGTGCTGAAAGTGTTCCAAAGCATATTACAGAATTGTTGTGCAACTTAAAACATAGCCTTACAACTTTACCAGGGAAATTACATACTCACACCTGCACACATACAGGTGTTTTTAAATTCAGCTGTTTAAACCTGAAGCTTACTTGTCCATGGAGAAACAGAAGGAAAGCATGGTCTGGCGTGTTGCTGTTCAAAGGCTGCTCATGTCAAATGCACAGTGTCACAACAGCTCTGTGGCTGCTGCCTGTTCATACACATTGCTTGTCTCACCCACCTGGTCTTCCTGTCCCCCATCACAAGAAACGTGGCCAGCAACTCAAGGGAGGTGATCCTCCTGCTCTGATGAGAGCCCACCTGGCCTGCTGCGTCCAGAGCTGGGGCTCACGACATGTGAAGCCCATGCACCTGTTTGAGCAAGTCCAGGCCATGAAGATGCTCAGAGTGCTGGAGCACCTCTCCTGTGCAGACAGGCTGGGAGAGCTGGGGCTGTTCAGCCCAGGAGAAGAGAAGGCTCTGGGGAGACCTTCCAGCACCTTCCATTACCTGAAGGGGACCCACAGGAAAGCTGTAGAGAGACTTTTTATAAGGACAGCTAGTGGTAGGACAAGGGGGAATGGCTTTTAACTGGTAGAGGATGGATTTAGATTAGATATTAGGAAGAAATTGTTCACTGTGAGGATGAGGACTTTTAACTGTTTCTCATTTTGGATTTACATATTGTATACAAGTTTCAGCCCTGTTTGGTACTCTTGTGTTCTAGCTTGTGGCATGCTACTTAAGAAAACACATTTATTCTTAATTTTCAATCTACACACCTGGCTGTTGTTCTCAATATTTTCAAGATGGCCGTTTGCATATTTCAGGCATGCCCACTAATGTATTACACTGGAAGCAGAGATAAATCACTGTACCGTTTTATAATAAGAAATTACAAGGAATTTGTTTCTGATAACAGAAATAAATATTTACATGCAGTGCTTTAGGGCACTTCTTAAAGAAAGATCTTTCTTTGAGCCAGCTTTAGCTGTACGAAGTTAATGAAACTGTAGGAAAACACACTGGGAAGTTCTCTGCTTCACCCTGCTGTCCTCAGGTAAGATCAGCTCTGACAGCCTTGTCTAACTGAGACTTAGAGACCTCCAATGTGATTTGTTCCCAGTCCACCATGATGTTGAAGCACAGAATATTAAAAAGATAATCTGCACAGAAGCTCTAGAAAAACAGGATCCCTGTGTTTCACCACCAGGCGTCATTGCTGTGCTTGCAATTTGCTTAGGAAAGCTCAGACTTTCATCACTAAGCTTTGTAAAGTTTCAGGTACTGCCAGAACTATTGCTCAACTGGCAGCAGAATACATCCAGAGATCTTTAAACCTGTGTGAAGAAAGTATGGCTCAAGGAACCTGAAAAGAAAGAAACTGAAAATAGGAAGGGGATATGGCAGAAAGTCAAACCTTCTGGCTGAAATGGGCAAACTTTCTTTTAGTTGCATGCAGTGAGGAGGTCACAGTAAAATGTCATAAGTAATCCTGTTGTTTTGTTCCATTCCCACTGAGTCTCAATCCTCTTGGTTCAGATTTCTGAAGTCAGGGACCCCAGCAGTGTTCATCCACATCCATGTTGTGACAATTTCCCAAACACTGTACTGCAGCAGGTTACTGTACTTCCCATCTTGTCCATATCCTGGATTCAGGTCAATTTGCCTTTTCTTTGGCTTCCACATGTCCCATGTCATGATGTATGCTCGCTGACCCTATGTTTGCTTATGGAGCAGTGGCATTTGATTCTAGACATGTCTCTGCAGAAGAGCATCTGAGTGGAAAAGAGCCTCTCTGAACAGCCCCACCTCAGAGGCTTTTGGTCACAAAGTTGACAGTGATGGTGGGTTTTGCAGTGCACACTGGCATGCTGCACAAGAGTGTAGCTGGCCAAGGGGATCCACACTGATTGTTATTCTAAAATCCTGCATGCATGACAAGGCACATGGGCAGTCGTGGGGCAATGTGACTGCCAGCTGCAGGAGTGCAGGATATGGCATTCATGAAGTCCTTAAAGCTTGAGGATAAGGTCAGGGAAATTTGAAGAGTTACAGTGTTTCTTTGATTTAAACAGAACTTTTTATTGCTCAGGCTGTGCTGTAGATCACGCTGAAGATCACAGGTTCACTGCACCATTATTGGTGTTGGCTCATATTATTGTAAAGTGTCCATTTATTCTGCAGGAGGGTTTTAAAATAAGCCATGAGTAAGCACAGATTCTTCTCATTGTAAATTATTCTGAAAAGCGGAGATGGACTTCAGTGTGACTTCCACATCTAGAGCTGAATAAACTTTGGCCCATCTTTGAAATGTGTACCTTAATTGTCTCTCTTTCAAGAAGGTGGCTTTGTGTACTGGAGCAGTATCTACTGCTGACAATCCTAAAGCCAAATAATCAAATGTCTGATTCATATTCATTCCCTTTTGCTGCATTTTTACTTCAAGTAGTGTAAGATGTGCTTTTTTATTTCTTGTTTGTGTTGTTTGGCTGTGATATTTTCGGAGACCTAAAAGGAAGAAAAGGCATTATTTACAAAAGGGATGTTCATACTTGATTGAGTACTGTCCTTGGATATCATTTTCCTCTTCAAATTTTTCCAATACTTGCTCTAAACCCACAAGCTAATTTGTACCTTCCACCTTTGGCTTTTCTTCAGCTTACTAAAATGAATAAGGCATTGTCCTGTGAGCAGTTGATTTATTTCCTGTGTATTTTGGAAAGGTGTTTATTCCTGGATGTCTTTGTTCATATTCTCACAAAACTGGATGTCATCCCATATGTGCTTAATTCAGCTCCATTGCCATGTCATGCACATTCGTATAATCCTCAGATATGATCCCTAAGCTTTTTGAAGGGCATAACCTGCCCTACCAGTTAGTTCTGTTCAATCTCTGTGCTTCAATAATAATGAGCACTTGCAGGGTTTTGTATTTTGTATACCTAATCTTTTGGACACCCTTAAATGTGCAGGTGGAAAAATACAAAGGGATTGGAGAAGTCACAGTTTCCATACTGTGTATGGTGGAACTTCAGAAATGTTGCTTTTCCTATCTTCTACTAACATGTGTCCCAGAGCTTATGTGTTACCAAGTTCTTCAGAAGTGACTCATAATAGGGTAACTCGGAAATTGTTATCACACAGGAGGAAGAAATGCTGGATTTTCAATTTAAACACAATTTAAATATAAAGGTTTATTTATCTTAGCAGGTAAGTCACTGTCTGAAAGAAAGAAGGGTACCTTGGTAAGCTTAAAAATCAACATGGTAGATAAGGAAGAAGTAACCTATTTTTGAAAAGGCTAAAGTTTTAGCTGAAATTAGTATGCATTTTATTATTTGTAGGACAGAATGTATAGTTGTCAGTAAAACCTGTGATGCATAACTACCATTAAAAGCTTTTTTTTCCTTCTCTAAAAAGTCAGGTCACTTGAGCTGTGGTTAAAATAGTCTTCTGTTAAATAGAGGCAGGTTCAGTGCAGACCTAATTTTCCATTAAAAAAAAGCTGTTTCAGAAAGCACTAGCTCTCGTCACCTGGAGTCAACATCATGCACTGCTTCAGGCAAGTAAGCAATGCAAGGCTGCTCAGCCCAGGCAGGAGTGAGGAGTGGGAAGCAGGCTGTACTGCCTGTGAAGTGGCAGTAAAGAACCACTTTTCCCTACAAGTGCTTTGTAGTCAGAAGCTGGAGCTATGGCTACAATTTGTTGAGCATGGTTGGTGTTTCAAAGCATTTGTCCAAGTTGCAGTCCCCAAATGAAGACAACTTGGAGTTGCAAGTACAGACCTTGTACAGTGCCCACTGCTTCTAACTTCTTCTCTGTGCAAGCTCACCAGCCACGAACAACTCCAGCATGTTCTTTGTCTTCAGCCTCTGACACACATTTCACTGGAATCTGCTGAGGTTAATAAATCACTGGAGAGGGGATATTAGTGCATCACGTTCAGTTGGATACAGTGAAATAAAAAAAACTATAAAGAAATTATGTATCATATTTCCATAGAATTGCAGGCTATCCTGAGTTGGAAGGGTCCTGCATCAAACTCAAACTCCTGGCCATGCACAGGGCAGCCCCAAGAGTCCCACCATGTGCCTGAGAGCATTGTCCAAACACTTCTTGAACTGTCAGGCTGGTGCTGTGACCACTGCCTTGGGAAGCCTGTTCAAGTGCCCAAACACCCTTTGGGTGAGAAACCTTTTCCTAATATTCAACTTAAACCTCCCTCTGACAGAACTTCATGCCATCCCCCTGTGTCATGTCACTGGTCACCAGTAAGAAGAGATTTTAATTGCACAACATTTAGATAAACAAAAAGAAAAATTCTCTTCATAGTGAACAGCCCTAAAAGTGGAGAGGTCTAGGGATCAGCAAAGTATTTTCTGGCAAAGGGTTGAGCCAAGAGCCTGTGCAAGCAGGTTGTAAAGGGGCGGCACTGTGGTTTCCATGCATGCCAGGGCCACTGTATGCCCTGAGCTGGAGCCTCACCCTCATTTATCTTTAGGAATCAGGCAGAGCAAGGTAAATAAAGCAGCTTCTGCAACATGGTTATGCAAGTCTGCTCGTGCTTCACTGCTGGAACTCTGTGCAGTCTCTTTTGTTGTCACCTTTTGCCTAAAGACCATGACACCTATCCCTGCACAGGCTACAGACAGGATCCACTGACTGATCCAGTGTTCTCAGTCGGTGAAAAAAAGTCATGGCCTTGATATGCATATACCTAAAGATATGAGGAAAGTTTTGAGGGGAAAGGAAACATAAAGGGATATGGTAAATAAACCAATAAGGAAAAGGGATGGGAACTTTAGAAGAATCATAGAACAGTTAAGGTTGGAAAAGACCTCTAAAATCATCAGGTGTAAAAGAAGGGAGGAAAGGAGATAGATAAACATCAAGGAATAGAGTGGACTAGTGGACTTCATTCTGATACAAGTTATTTCAGGAAGTGCAAATCACTAAGTCGTACCTCCTGAGAGGACTGGAGAGCTTTGGCTGGAACTCAGAACAAAAAAGGAGAGTTTATGGCCTATGGAAGAAAGGGCTGAGAGCTCAGGAGGATTACAAGGATGTTGTGAGTTTTTGCAGGGAGAAAATTAGAAGGGCCAAAACCCAACTAGAACTTTATCTGGTTACTGCCATTAAAGACAAAAAATGTTTCTATAAATACATTAACAGGAGCAGGGTCCCATCATATGGGGTAATGGTGACTTGGGAAGACAAATGCCACCACTCCAAATGTCCATGCCTTCTATCCTTCTTCCCCCACTTTCTATACTGAGCATGATGTCATGTGGTCTGGGATAGCCCTTTAGTCAGTTTGGGTCACCTGTCCGGGCTGTGTCTCCTCCCAACCTCCCACACACCCCCAATTTCCTCACCAGTGTGGCTGTATGAAACACAGAAAAAGTCCTGACTCTGTAAACCATGCTTAGCAGTAAAAAAACCATCCCTACATTATAAGCCTTGTGTTCAGCACAAATCCAATACCCAGTCCCAAACCAGCCACTGTGAAGAAAGCTAACTCTGCACCAGCCAAAACCAGCACAGAGGTTCAACAAGACCAAGTGCCAAGTCCTGCCCTTGGTAACAACAGCCCCAGGCAGCACTACAGAAAAGCTGCCTGGAGGAAAAGGACTTGGGGATGCTGGCTGACAGCAGCTGAACATGAGCCAGCGTGTGCTCAGGTGGCCAAGAAGGCCAATGGCATCCTGGCCTGGATCAGAAATAGTGCAGCCAGCATGACTAGGGAAGAATCTCTTCTTGAATTAATTACAGTCACACAGGTAAACATGACAGAGTGCTATACTTAGTAATTACTAGTCAGGTTATATGCAGCATTTTATCTCCTTTTCACTTGTTTCTGAAGGAAGAAAACTTGGTTTCAAAATGCTGGGCATAATTTAAAAATAGACAAGGCTTGAAGTCCCCAGGAAAGGCACGAAGTGCTGACTTCCACCCAATCCCTTGCACCAGCGTGTAGTGCCAGGAGAGGGAAAGTGTATGGGCATGCGAGCAGTGTTGGGGGCTGTGCTTGTGGGTGTTGATGGAACCAACAGGTCAAGCACCCACAAAACAAGCAGGGTGTTGCATGTGGTAAGAAACATTCTGTCACAGCACTTCTGACTTACTGATTTTTGTTTGGCAATGATTGGCACATTGTCCTTGGACACAGTGAAGTGAAAGCCATTCCAACAGATTAATGAGTAGCCGGACTGTAAAACTAAGAATTCAGGAGAAGATACAGCCACAGCCACACAGTCAGCATACATTTGTTAAACAGCTTGCAGAATCCCATGTTTTAGTGGATGAGCTGGGCTCTTGTGTCACTGAAGTTCATCACCAAAGCCTTCATGCTCTCACTGTGTCCCTGCTGTTGTGAATTCAAGAGCCACTCTCCCCATTTCTCTTTGCACCTACAGTGCCACTGAGAGTAGAGGGTTTGGAGGGCAGCTTCCAGGGAGGTGGAAAAAGGGAAATAGCTTCCAGACAGGGCTGTTACTTTTGTCCCATGATGTTGAGGACAGCCACAAGTGGGCTGCAAAAAAGGGTGGGGAAGAGCATGACAAAGGGGTCAGGAAGATGGAAGCACTGAAAGAGTGAGGTTTCATCAGATGAGTGGTTCACTCTCATTCTAGCACTTTTTCTGATTAAGGGGTGGGACTATGAGCTGGGAGGCTTGGCTAAAAGACCAGAGAAGTTCACTTGTGGGAGCACTTCACACAACCAGCTTCCAGTGTGCCTGAGAGGACTTGTGGTACCAGCAACCCAGCTGCTCTGGAGGTGACTGAGTTCTTGGCGCAGACAATCAGCAGTGGCAAGATTCATCAACATGAGCACAGCAGGCAAAGTATGCAACGGTTTGTAATAGGAAAGTTTCTTTGCTGCAGCTGAGTAATGCATTTTTAAATGTGAATTATTTGCAGGGACACTGTAAGTCCTGGTGGTATAGCACAGATTAGAATTTAGGATGAAGCTGGTACAGAAGAGCTGCCTTTATTTGCAGGCTGCTGTAGTTTCCTAGAAAATAGTTGTTAACTCTTCAAGGCAATAGTTTATTTGAGGCAACAAAAGGTAGCAGCACCAGAATAAGAATAACACCCTGTCTAGGTTAGCAAACTGTTTTTAATCTCTGATTGGATAGTTTAAAATATGATAGAATATACTAAGTCTTAGATCAATGTATTTATCTGCTCCACCAGTTTCCATTGGGAGATCCTGTAGTAGTTTAAACTATTTTTAGTTTATTTATTCTATCAGCTTGTTTCCCAAAAAGGAGATGCAACTAATATTGTGTTCAATTTCATGGTGAATTGTGCTAGCATTAGGATAGTCATTAAATTTGAATATGCATGTAACAAGTTTCAAACTTTAGTTTATGAAGACCAGAAGTAAAGTTCACATGCAATGAAATACTGAAGTGAGTAGTTACATCTTTGCTAGAAATGAGATGACAAGAGAAATGGAGGCTGATACTAATACGTGTTCCTTCTTGCACTGCTGGCGAGATGCTAGCAGATACCCAGGGACCTGCAAGAGAAATGAAGGCACAAACAACTAGAAATAGAAAACTGAAAGAATGCACCTTGCTGGAATGTGCCTTAAGCTAATACCAGGATCATTTGCTCTTACTGCCAGCTGTCCTCACTATTCTAAAACCAAAAGAGAAAGGAAAAAAAATGCTCTTTTTAGCTCTGAGTTACTGCAAGTGCAAAATTAATTGTAGCTTACTTGCAGGTAAATTCACCAAGTTCAGTCCTCTATCAGCATTAGTGGATTACATATTCACAGTAAATGAAGTGTTATGATATAGCTTAACTGCTTTGATTTCACTGTGTTTACCTTGGAATAACATGGGAGTTCCAGTGACATTTATGTAACCAAGCAGCATAGTCCTTGTGTCCCATGTAAGGGCGTGTTTCTACACATGCCCTCTCCTGCAGCAGTAACTCACATGGCTGGTAGAATACACTAGGAGAGAAAAAACTGTTAAGCTTGTCTTAGCAGATGACTATGGGTGATAGTGTGTTATAGATAGAGATAGATGTTGCTACATCTCTGGGATCCTGTTGCAATCCATAAAAGCTCACAGGGATGAAACAGTCATAACAAAACATAGTTAACTAATGTTTGATTAGGAGAGATTTGTTTGTTCTCAGCAATCCACACTTCTTGGCCACCTTTGTTCTTGGAAACACTACATGTCCTTTACATGTGCAAGTCATGAAATCGTCTGCCTTCTTTTTTTTTTTTTTTTTTTTAAGTGAGTCTCCTAGAAAATGCTGCCCTTTGAAATGTGACCTTTGACCACACTTGTGAATTTTTCACTAATCGCCCTTGCATATAAACATTAAATTTAGTGCAAATATCTCTTGAGGCAGTTTTTTTCAAAGCATTCTGCCCATCTCACTTCTGTGCCCGGCTGCTAAAAGTCTGCTATTTTATATGTTCAGTATTTCCTAGTAATTATTTTTTTTGTTACCACTTTTCCATTTGTGGATAATCAGACATTATTTCTACTTCTACTTCAAAAGGTTTGATACTAAAAATTTTTTTGTTGTTGTTTTCCCTTGCAAATTTTGCAACACAGTGGTGTTAAGTTGTCCTGGTCACACAGGATAAATATGCATGTGCTAAACTGAGGACATCCTGGATTTGATTCCCCTCCATTTCCTTCTCAAGATAATGCCACCTGAACACTTGTAGTGAGTAGACTTAACAGAATGACTGAAGACTTTATAGTGTGTTACCCAGGAAAATCATATTTCTGGTTGTTTAGAGACTTAGGGTGAGATCTTTAAATACCTCCGAGAAAGAGCAGCAATTATGGGGGCAGAGAGGTCCCACTGCTTTTGAATACAGTAGGATTGAGCTTGCAGTGAGGAAACCCATTTGAGAGCTCAGGATGAGGTGTGGACAGTGCTCTTCTCTTTTCTGAGGGCATTTTTCTCTCAGTGGCAGATGGTCAGAGGAGCCCTTAGGTCATTACCAGGACAAAGCCTGAAGAATTAATGGACAAACTTCAGCCTAAGAGATGAAAAAAAAAAATGCTGTCTTGGATAGTTGGGTAGTAAATCCACCAGAGTTAAATATCCCTTCTGAGAAGGAGGGTACCTTAGCATGGATAATACTGCACATAAAGGGACGCTTCAAGATTACCTCTCTGTAGTGCTACATCAGTTTATACAGCTGTCCTTCAGCCATCACCTCATGGATGAACTTGGGCTCCACTAGAATGTTTATAAATCTGTACTAGGCTCTGAATTCCATTTTTAGCAATTCTGTTAGTTCACAACACAGACTGTTCTAGACAATACAGACTTTATTACAGCCTGATAAGTGACATCATTTAGTGTGCCATCCTCAAGAAGATACAAATACAGACAAGTAACCCAACATAGCAAAAGAAATTGACCAAGGAAGTTAGCAAAGGAGCAATGAGAATGGGTATCCCATTACCTAGGAGACTATTACACATGCAGCTGAAAACCTGATGTGACAGAAATATGATAAGCAAAGTCAGGCATGATCTTTGGGGTCAAAAATAGGCTTACACTGACCTTTGGTGTTGACTTTTTTGTTGTTTCATTTGGGTTTTTTCTCTGTAGTTTCCCTCTCTTCTCCACAAATATGAACAGGAGTTTCACATGCAGAAATGGAAGAAACTGTCTGTGTGATGACTTGAAAATGCCATTCCCGTTTTCTTTGCTCTGTTTGTAGGTTATTAAATGCAAGGCAGCAGTGCTGTGGGAAGCCAATAAACCTTTCAGTATTGAAGAAGTGGAAGTTGCTCCACCAAAAGAACATGAAGTTCGCATAAAGGTACTAAAAATAAAATTTAAAACAACTTGTATGACTTGCATTCTATCTTGCTTTTAATCAGAATTAGTTCTATACATTTTTAAGACCCAGTGAGAAAACATTCTATTAGAAAGTAGTTACTAATCAGTTAGCTCCTATGGAACATGTTTAAAGTCATTAATTTAATAATGAGGTTATTAAGAAAAAAAAAAGGTTTTCAGGGTTGTATTTTTTGTTTACTGACAGCTGCTTTTCTAATAGGCTGAAAAAATTACAATACAAGGCAAAAAACAGAATTTCCAGTTGTGTGGAGCAAGAAAATTTCTTTTACTTTGTTTGAATCAGTGCTGGGAAATAGCTCATTAGCCTGGGAACTTCCTGTTTTTTACCTGGACATTTGCCTCAGTGGAATTCAGCAGCTGCCTTAATCTTTGAGCAGTTTCAAGGTTTAAAAACATGAGGAAAACCCTCTCAAGGGGTTGACAAATCCATTTGTCAGAATAAAAGTTGTAAACACATACCTGAATATTTCAAATGAAATAGTGCTGTTCTAGCTGCAAGAAAAGGCAAAATGTCATATAAAACACTCTGTAGCTTAATTTTTTCAAAAGTAAAATATACAAAGATTTTAAGTATATACACAGTACAATAATATAATTGTTATGTGATTATTTAGAGTATAAAATCATTTTTATATGACATCATTTTTATAAAATATCTATTATATATTGTCATATAATCTAAATGTCATAAACATATATGCAATATTTATATATTTATAAATAATATGTGAAGGTAAATTTGTATTTACATAATTTTATAGTATTTATATAACATTACACACTTTCCTTTTAAGTATTTATATATAAATACTAGGAATAATTTAATTTACTCTGTTCTTCCTATAGAATTGTATTGCTAAAACATTGATTCTGCAGAAAATCCGTTGGACTCCTTATAGAGCTCAGTACTGCATAGCAAACATTCACAAAGGAGCTTTGGCCTGTAGATTAAAGACTAATAAATACCATGAAAATCTTAAATCAGACAACTAAATTGGCTTTACCTGTAGATTTATTGCATGCAAACTGGATTTTGAAGAGAAGCAAGTGGCTTCTCCACATGTAGAATATCATTTCACTTCCACATATGACCTGACATAGTTAAAAGCAGAAACATTCTTGTCTTTCCTGTGAATCAGGTCGTGGGCACTGGGATCTGCCGCTCTGATGACCATGTGATAACTGGTGCACTGGTTATGCCTTTTCCAATAATTCTTGGGCATGAAGCAGCCGGTGTTGTGGAGAGTGTTGGGCAGGGAGTGACTTCAGTCAAACCAGGTATGAAACTGCACTGAAAACAAGCACTGAAAACAAACCCTCTGCTGAGTTTCTAGACTCCTCCTTAGTTCAAAGATTGTTACATTTGTTAGTATTTTTACTGCACAGGAAAACAGTCCAATTTCAATTTTTTCAAGGATACCTCAAAGGATACAATTTACTTTCAGATTTTCAACTCAATTTCTTTTGGTTTTGGCAAAAACATCTGCAGCTTGCTTTCCACCTACATAGTGCTTTTCCTGTTGTGGGACTAAGAATGTAGAGTCTTTTCATATGAAGTTGTTTTTCATATGCTTTGCTGTTCATACGAAGTCAGGCATTAGCTGCAGGTTCTCTGAACACAGTTTATACAGCTCACCTTTCTCAAGAATAAGGCAAAGCAAAGCACTAGATGACAAAATGTCAAAGCACCTTTTAATTCTCCTAACAGCTAAATAATCCATTGACTTCAGCTGATCAGAATTTAGGTCTTATTTCACCTCAAAAGCATCAGGGCACAACTGGGGTGCCCACCCCGCTGCAGGCCTTGCATGTGGGCAGCACCAGTGCGGGTGAGGCAGCACTGCTCCCCGAAGGCTGGGTTGCTCTCAGGACACTCATCTGGACCAGCTGCTCCTCTCCCTGTCTTCTCTTTGAACCACAGTGCAGAGATGGTCAGTGAAAGATGACAATTTTCAGCCAACTGCTGCAAGATGAGATGGGATTCTTCTACATTTTTGCAAGACTGAAAAAATTCCAACAAGGGCTAAATTATTAAGAGAAAATATGCAGTGCAAAAAAATCTATGCAGAATCACTCAATTTCTAGGCATTTTGTTATGATACCTGAGTAGACCACTTTTAATACTTCTGTACTTCCAGTGTCTTTGTCCATACTGACAAGTATGAAGTCTGTCCAAAGTAGGTTGGTATGTATAACAAAAAATTTTATTAGAGATTTCTGCTTTAACTCCAAACAAATATGCATATTTAAAATTTCAGTGACAGCTCTAGTTGCTTTTTCTCTTATGTCTGGGTTCATAAATCTCTCTGTTGTCTAATTCCAGCAGCTGCCCCATGTTTCCAGGTGAGCTGAAATAGCAGGCCTGAACACATACATGCACAAAATCACATTTCTCAGATGTTGCTTAATTTACACCTCCAAGTTCTAAAAAAAAGGCTTCAACTTGTGCAACATTTCTTTAGCAAAATGATTACTAAGCCCATATCACAGTTCTAAGTTAGCTCAGGGTCGAGGTAGTGGGGGCATTGAATGTTCTGTAGGTATTTTTCATTTTTTGGTGAAAATCAAAAGTATCTCTTGACTTTCAATGTGTCAAGGATTAGCCACATCTTAAAACTGACAAATCATAAACTAATATGTATTAGGAAATACATGCTTAGAGATTATTAGGTATTTACCATATATCATTGCTGTGGAAATTGCCAAGGAGTAAAAAATTGCACTGGGAAGCTATGTGCTACTTTGTTAATCACGTAATTGTGCTGGAGAATTAGAGATGATGGCTTAGACTGTGTGTGTCACTGCTTCTCAGACAAGTATTTTACCTACATTTACTCAGTGCAACAGTAATAGGACTGCTAAAGAGCAAAGTTGCTCAAGAGGACTGGCAAATTAATGCTTAATTCCCATTCATCATATGCATGGTTTACAGCCCAGTTATCTTGGCACTTCAATCTGCGGTCCTAGTTCCTTCTTTTTGTACAGAAGATGCAAAAAGCTGCTGAGTAAGTACTTCAAAAGTGTCAGTAGTTAACATGGTTTTATGACATAGGTCTGACTCTGTTCTGTGGAAAGACACCAGAAATTTTTCATATCAAAACTAGTTGTCATAACTTTGACCTAATTATGTCTTTTATATAAAACACAGAGAGATGGTTCATCTTACAAATGCAGTGGGAGGAAATAAAACCATCGCTGCACTCCTATTGCATATTTGCCTTGGGATTAAATACACTTGCTTCATATTTTTACCTGTATGCTTCTTGTTTGCCTTTTTTAATCCTCTGTCATTACTGTTTTGTTTCTAGGAGACAAGGTTATTCCACTCTTTATTCCACAGTGTGGGGAGTGCAAGAGCTGCTTAAACACCAAGAGTAACCTGTGCAGTAAAACTGAGTGAGTTTTCCTGGATTACTTACAACCCTAATTCAATTTGACTTTATCCATAACTGACTGCAAACAGCAAATTTCACTTGCCATTATTTCTGATCATCTTTCAAACAGCCTTGGTACAAGAGCTGGATTAATGCCTGATGGCACCAGCAGATTCACCTGTAAAGGAAAAGCAATTTACCATTTTCTTGGTACAAGTACCTTCACTGAATACACAGTAGTGCATGAATCTGCTGTGGCCAAAATCGATTCTGCTGCTCCTCTGGAAAAAGTTTGTCTAATTGGCTGTGGATTTTCAACTGGTTATGGGGCTGCTGTGCAGACTGCCAAGGTAAATACTGTGGTGGGTGTTTCTGATATTTTATGGTGTCCGCTCAAGGTTGTGTAGCCTACAAGTGGGATGTCAGCATGGCAGCCAGGAGGTGTAGACTCTGTTTAGTTCAGTGTGGAAAGAAGATACTGGTTCTTTCTTACTTCAGATTCTGTCTCTAGGGTACTCAGAAGCCTTAAAATAAAAAATCTTCAAAAATCCAGTAAAATTATTTATTACATCATAGTTTTATCACCCCTAGAAAAATGTTACAACAGTTACAAATGTTACAACATTTATTTATTGTAACTGAAGTCTAAGAATATATAGAAGCCTATATAGGCAACACAATTGTAGCAATATATGAATGTGAGTTTTAGAGCTGGCACTGTCTCCAGTTGAATGACACTACAGATCTTAACACCACTGGAACATACAGCGTCATAAAAAAAAAAAAAAAAAAAAGGTGTGTCTAATCCTGAAGCTGAGAAATATAATGAAAACCTGGTCTCAGGAGTGTATTTTAGGGACAATTTCTTTTAGTCACATGAGCATTATAACAGTACAGCTGGCTACTGCACTAGCTGTACTAGGTATGCATGTGCAAATTCCTTCTCAGCAGGTAATCTCTAAACTGCAAGAAGTCGCTTAAGTGAAATCATGTTGATAATGAGGAAATGCATGGGACTTTCCCAAGCCTGTAACAATATGCCATGTTTTCATGGTTGTTATTATAGGTGGAACCAGGCTCCACCTGTGCCATCTTTGGCCTCGGAGGAGTTGGCCTCTCTGTTGTCATAGGCTGCAAGGTGGCTGGAGCTTCCCGCATCATTGCCGTGGACATCAACAGCGACAAGTTCTCCAAGGCCAAGGAGCTGGGAGCCACCGACTGCATCAACCCTAAAGATTTCAATAAGCCCATCCATGAAGTGTTGATGGAAATGTCTGGTGGGGGTGTGGACTACTCCTTTGAGGTCATTGGCCGTACGGACACCATGGTATGCAACCAAAAGATGGGTGATAGGAGGCATTAGCTCATTAGCATTCTCTTCACCAGGCCACCAAGCACCAAGGAGGAGGAGCTGAGAGCCACTGGCAGAGTATCAATCTAACTTCAAACCTTTCAAGTCCAGCTATTGGCCACTGAGATGCAGGGACAGAAGCATGCTCAGAAATTTAGGAAAGGGAGCTTCATTGTAGTGCCTGGCCAAACCAGGGTGGCTACATTTCATATAGCCCATTATCTGCTCTCCAAAAATGGCTTAGCACCAATAGTTTATACAAAATAGGTGAGAAGAGCAGAGCTAGGATATACTTAACCAGTGAGAGCAGATACAATGGACAGTTTTTTATGTGGTTTCATTTACAAAAAATCAATTGCAAGCAGAGTCCTGAGAGGAGGAGATGGAGTTTGTGCCCCAAAGACAAATCTTGCCTGACTTTGGGTGTCCCTCTGTTTCTAATGCAGACTGCAGCCTTGGCCTGTTGCCAGCATAACTACGGAGTCAGTGTGATTGTGGGAGTGCCCCCTGCAGCACAAAAGATCACTTTTGATCCCATGCTCCTCTTCACTGGTCGCAGCTGGAGAGGCTCCGTCTTTGGAGGTAAGGACTTGGAAAGATGTGATTTAACTGGCTTGGGAATCTTGTAAATAATCTCGAATGAAACAGGACATATAAAATTAATTGCTTAGTCTGTCTTATTGGAAGCATTTATGGCTATTTTGCTGACAAAGAAGTTGAAGGGGAATTAATTAGTGGAACTTAGTGAATGGCAAGAGAAGGAAAGAAAAAAACAGAAAGGGGGGGGAAGAAAGGGAAGAGGAGACAGAGAGAAAGAAAAGAAAGAAGACAGAAAATAGAGAATAAAAGGGAGGAAAGAAGAAAGAAGAGGGGGAAATGAGAAAAAAGGGAGAGAAGCAAAAAAGAAAAAGAAAATGAGGGTGAGGGGAGGAAGGAGGATGGATAAAAATAAAGAGGAGGAAAAAAGATAGGGAGAGAGATTAGAGGAGATAAAGGATATAAAATAAATGGGTGAAAACGAAAAAATCATAAAGAGGGAGAGAGGACAGAAGGAGGGGAGAAAAAGAGCAAGTGCAAAAAGGAGAATGAGAGGAATAGAAGGAGAGGGGAGAGACAGCAGGAGAGATGGAGAGTCAGGACAGTAAAGTACATCGGGGCTTATACTCAGCTGATTTCCACAGAGGTCAGACCCCAGCTTAGCCCCTTGCCAGCTGCCAACTGTCCCTTCCCATTCTTGCTCTTTTTGGAGCTCTCTCAGCAGTCCCACACTCAGCAAGTCCTAGCTCACTCAACACAAAGGCCACAGAAAAGTTGTTTCCAACAACAGGTTTTCTCACTTGTAACCAGTTCCTCCCATGTATTCAAAAGACACCTGGATAAAATAGCAGAGACAAATCAGGTTCCTCTGGAAGGGCATCCTAGGATTTATGACAGCTTTACCTAGTGGTGCTTGTAAGAATAGAGAGACACATCTACCACCCACTCCCCAGTTTTGAGCAGAAAATCAAGTTTCTTGATTAAATTAAAATTATTAATTAACTAATTTAAAACTTACCAGCATGGATGTCAGCACTCTGGCTTTTGTATGAAATGTGATTAAGTTGAAACAGTATTTCATGTGGGGGCAACTTTGGATTCTGTAAAGACTGACATTTGTACTGATCTTCTGCTGGGTTTGTCATATGTGGAATAGCTGCACTTTGTCCCATGTTTCTTGCTGGCACGCTGTGTTACAAAGGTAAAGCCATGCTGCCACATTTCATCCTATTACTCTGCTATAGAAAGGTTATCTAAAAATTTAAGCCACCCTGGGTTTTATGTATTTTCAAAAGCATTTAATTTCATTATGCATTCTCTGTGGGTTTTTTTGCAGGCTGGAAGAGTAAAGATGCAGTTCCCAAACTGGTTGCTGACTACATGAAGAAAAAGTTTGTTCTGGATCCATTAATAACTCACATACTACCTTTGACAAAGATCAATGAAGGATTTGATCTTTTAAGGACAGGAAAGAGGTAAACATTGTTTCACTGTAAAGGTTCTGTATAAATAACCTAAAGGAGATGTATGGTAAGACAAAGTCTGACTTCACGGCAGAGAATGGGGAAGGCAGCCCAGCATGCCCCTTAATCCCTCCCAGTGTATTCCCATGGTTTTGCAGCTGGAGTAATAAAGCCAGCAAACCTTCAGCTTTTGAAATGCAGTGGGCCCTTGCAGAAGAACTTTCCTCGCAGAGTAACTTTGAGATTTGAGCAGAGACACTGGGTGACAGAGGGAGAAAAGACTACACAATTGAGGAAGTCTCTTCTCAGTACCCATTGGAAAAAAGCCAAGGGAGCATGGGAATGCCAAGCTGTAGAGTGCCAAGGGTTAGTTACATCGTATTCCAAGAAACTGTTCAGGATGAGGAGCAGGAACACAGAAGTAGCCTATTCTTCTTGTGATTTAGGGAACAGAGTCCCAGTCCAATTGGTCCTAAAGTCACTGGGTACTTCACCTTGAACTTCAGAGCTTTTTTAAAAGGAAAGTACTTGATATATATTGCAAACTCAGAATTTAGCTCTTGTGCTTTCCTAAAATATTGTGAAAGTTTAGGTCAGACTGTTTTCACAGGGTATTGAAACTGGAAGTATTATTTGAAAAGATTCACCATGGGAATTGAAAATTGTCCCTGACAGAAATAGGAAACACATTTGTATATCTTAGTATGTGTGTAGACTACCCTTTTTGAAAGTTCTAGATGTTTATAACTTACAGAGCCTGGAAAATTACATTCATAATTTCTTTTCATTGTCATTTGCTAGCAGTTATTTTAGATGTTACTCTGAATATAAAAAGCAAGTAACAGAAGAATTTCAGCCTCTGAGGTTTGTTTTCAGGTTCTAACAATGCAGCACACACTTCATTTTTTCATTGTCCTTATTTTACATAGGCTACAAATGTTAGTTTTAGTTTTCAGCATAACAAACAGGAAAGTGATAAGGACAGAGATGCCAGCAGCTTTGCTAGGATACTGATAGTCAGCCTAAAGATAGATGCACGTTGCAGCTGATCATTTTTACAGAGTAAAATACTTCAGTGTTTCAGCACAGAATAAGCTGTACCAGTTACCCTGTAATTAGAAAGATGTTTCTAAGCCCCTCTCTGAGGAACTTCTCAGACTGTAACTGGTAATTAATTACTATGAGCCCTGGGCTTCATCAGTGAAGGCTTTGCAGTCTTCTGTGAATTTTGTTCTCTACATCTGAAGCAAAGTTTGCACATCTTCTCTGTCATTTTGCTGCAAGCTGGGGCAGGGGCAGGCAGGGAGGGAGTACCTGTTTGACAGCAATAGCACAGGTTATCAGAGAAAACAGCAGTGTTCAGCTGATGTCAGCCCAGAGGATTTTCTAGTCGCTAACTTGTCATTTTATATTGCAGCATCCGCAGTGTCCTGACGTTTTAGGATTGCCAGACATTAAACAGCAGATGGCTCAGCACCAGTATGAACTTCACCATCCTCCAATACAACTTATATGAAATGCAAACCAAGACTTTCCTGAAAGATCTACCACTTCCCTTGAATAAAAGGATCAAGCTCAAACCCCACACTTCAAGCACAGAATTTATAAATGAAACCATCTTTTTTTCTTCTACCTATTGCTCCTCATTCTTGCATTGTGCTGCAATTTTTTTTTTTAGCTAGTTATGAATTACAGGACTTGCTCCTGTCACGGGTGTTATAAAAAGTTTGGATTTTTAAAAATTACTTATAATATGCAATCTTTTATAAGGAAGGAAATTGTTTCTTTGGGCTTCCATAACACTGCAAGCTTAAGGAATTCATACATGCAGTTCAACAAACTCTAGATTAGAACTGTGTATCCATCCTGATTGACTGTATCATTCCAATGCCTAATGAGCAAGGAATAATATAGCAGAAATTAAAATTTATGGTGAACATGTGCTTGAATTAATAATTTAAGTAAATCATAGGCTTAGGTACTGGAGAATGTCTCACCACTCAGTATTTTACCAGATTAACACTCCCAAACATTTTATGTAAAACTGGTGTTTGGTTGTTCTGTGTTGCGGGTTTTATTTGGTGTTTTGGGTTTTTTTTTACCTTTATGCCTCTTTCTTGGGGTTGTTTTAATTGTTGATCATTGTGGTTTTAAACCTTTGGCCAATTTAGACAAGTGCCTCTAATGTTTGGGAAGCAGTGTGAAGAAATACAAATGTGCACCAAGTATTGTTTTTTGTTTCCATTATACAAAGAGGAGGCTTCTGATGTATGAATACATCAGAAGAGTAAATGGGAAGAAACAGCTGACTGGTAACAATTTACAACAACTCAAACATAAAGCATCTTACTGTTTTCTGAATTTGCAATGTGGAAACAAGAATAGAGGCTATTTCTATCTTGGCAAATATGGTCAACTTTGACATATTTTAGCATGGATTAATCAGAGCTTGCAGGCACTCATACACATGGCAGCTGGGTAGAAGAACCTGTGAAGCAAGGGAGCTATGCTACTGATGACTTACCTGTTTGTGTCAGCAGAAAGAGTCTTTGAGTGGCCCAGCTAGTTTAATGACTTGAGGGCAAGAGATCACAGTTTAATGATTTGAGGATCAAGAGATTACAGTTTAACAGAAAAAGATCTTTAAATATGTTTATAAACTAAACTTACACAGCAATTGAGAGCTGAACTTCAGTCATCAGTGTAAAAGAGCTAAAGTACAACAAACCTCTCAATACTATCATCTTCAGGATGATGCAAAGCCCATTTTTGTGGTTGTTATCTGCCAAGCATAGTAAACACCAGCTGTTAGTATCTTTAGTAGGATAGTTGCTGGAGCCCAAAACAACAAACCCATTAAATCATTCTTATTAGGCATATTTTATAAGGCAGCCATCTAGATCTGTCTTCACATGGAGGAATGAAGTGTATTCTGACTGGGAAACAACAAAAAGTTCATACTTTCCTAGCACGTTTTGCCCTGTAGACCCTGAACACTCAGCTGAAGATTGTTTGTGTGGTTGTATAGCTTGGACAGAAGGTTTCTGATGGCCTTTCCTAATGACTCTCTGGCTCTGAGGTACTCCAGGAGGGTCCAGGAGCTCTGGACAGCTCTTGCACAACTCTGTGTAAGCCTCCATTTAGGAGTTTTCCTGGGAGTGAGTAGAGACCACATGCCCCATAAGAGCACCAACTGTCCACAGCACATGATGACACCACAAAAAATCCACAAAAGACATGAAAAATACAGTAATTTCTCAAGAAACTAACTATCAGACAAAGCACAAATGGTGTTTCCTCAGACCTTAAACTATGGCAGTGTTTAACTGAGCATCACTTGGCTTTGCGTACAACTGAGCACTACCATGTTTCTGCTCTCCCACCACATCTCACCTACCCTGACACTCCCCAAGAAATGACACATACTCTACTGTACAGCTTTATTTTCACATGCTTTTAAGATCACACCGCCTGGCAGTGCATCAAAGCCAAATGATCATTCCCACACAACTTAATAATCCCCTCTAGTGCTTCCAGGTTATCAGATGGAGGCCACAGATCCCAGTAATAAAACCTGTGCTACACAGATACCTAGGAGACAACAAGCCCATGTTTTGTTCAGGGGTTATCGCATCTTTGGACAAGTGAAAAAAAGTTATTCTGGACAAGTGAAAATTTTTTTTTCTCTAAAAAGCTGCATAAATCACACTAGAAGTCAATATAGTTTTATTTCTTTTTTAATGCAGCAGGTTGACCAGGCTGAATACTGAAAATCTTTAAAACTTCATTCTAAAACTCCTTATTCTTGGAAAATCATACATCATCATAATTCAGGCTCTGACTGAAGCTACCAGAGGTATGCAAACAAATGTTTGAAAAAGTAGAAATTTCTTGAGAAAAAGTGCTAAATATCTCTGTTTACCTGAAATACAGATTAAAATTATCCACAAGTGCATGTCTGCTCTAGAGCCAGCTACTCACCTCCAAGACAGGAGCATGTTATCACTTTGAGTCTGGGTTGACCAGCAGGGCTGGGGAGCTGAATGCCAAGCAGCGCTTCCATGTGGCTGAGACCACTGTCACACCACAGGGCTGCCATGCTCTGTGCAAGAGCTCAGACACCTGCTGGGGTAGGATAGAGCAGCTGGGCTGCATCCCTGAAGCTGGAGATGGGATCAGGGAACTTGAGAGCTGGGGGTTTGGCCTGCCAAGTCTAAGTCCTACAGCTGCTACTGACTTTCCTCCTCAGCCCATGAAACAGGTTTGGGGTATTCAGCAGCAAGCACCAGCACAGACCTCTGCAAGCAGTCAGCTGAACACATGAACATGGGGCTGACGTCTTCCCAAACACAGAAGCAGTTCCCAAACACACACAGTGCTCATCTTAGCCTGGTCCACCAACAAGTTCTTGCTCATCCTGTATCCCCTATACATCACCTTGTCCAACGCCACAGCAGAAAACAGCTCTGGGGGCAACCTGAAGAGGCCAGGGGGTGTGAACCCACAAGCCAGGTTACACAGAAGTGATGTAACTGTGTCCTTGGAAAACCAAGTCCTTTCTTGACAGACTTTCCCCGTACCGTTCTGGTGAAAATAGCAGCAATAACACAGACAGTAAAGCTTCAACCCAGAAGGCAGTGTCCACCCCACCATGTTTTCACTGCTTTTTTTTTTTGTTTTGAGATTTTTTTGTTGTTGTTGGTTTTTTTTTGGTTTTTTTTTTTAATTTTTAACCACTTTGCAAATACCTTGGCATGAATAACCACGAGATCAAATGCTCCAGCCTAGCAAAAAGGGGATGCCAAGGAAGCCCCACCAGTGCCGCAAATCTCGTCCTTTCACATCTGCCTGAAGCAACTGGAGGAGGAAAAAAATCTTTCTGAATATTCTGTGCCTAACAGGCAGAATGGCCCAAGGGCAGGGTCACCGATAAAAGCCTCCCTGGAGGACTTCTGCCCTCATCCATCTCCCTGTTGCTATCCAGCTCCTCTGTGTAATAAATTTTAATTATTTGTTGATCAAATTTAATATTATTACTAAAATAAAATATGATTGCTAAGTCTGTTTTTAAAAAAAGCTAACATTGCAGAAACGCTGAACCACAATGACCACATTTCCGGCTGTGAAGGCAAGGAGCTGAAACTGCAAAGCTAAATCTGTAGAATGGTATCTGGCTGAAAAAAAGGGGAAGTAGAACATCTTATTCAGGAGAATTGCCTACCCACGACCAGCAAGAGGCAGAAGAAGATGCCCTAGCAACAGGAGGCGCAGGCACTGATGCGATCCAGGAAGGCACAGATGCAGGGACTGTATAAATAAGGGAACCTCCTCAGCCAAGGCACGCCGTCTGCGGGACACTTAAGACAAAGTGTCCTCCGGCTCATCCCCAGCTGGGTTTTTGCTTGCTTTACTGCTTGCTGAATTAATAAAAATTTGCTTTCATTAATTATTATATAAATTGACCCTTCTATTTTGTCACGACAATTTATAACACTCCCCTCAGCACTCGCTGTGCTGCCTAGCACCCAGCATCCGACACAGATTAACCAGCGCTCTCCAGCTGCGACGCTGCCGCACCGGGGCTGCTCCCACTCCACGCCTGGGGAATTCCACAACGCGGGGCTTGGGCCACACGGGCCAGAGGCACCTTCCCTCCAGCCGGCGACAGCGACAGACACAGCTCTGCTAAGACCACATGGCCACTGCCGGAAAAGTAAGGACATCGCATTTCCCATCCTCCTTCCCGAGGTGCCCTGCTCCTGGTGAAATCGCTGCAAAAGGCTCAGCCTGCGCTCCACTCTGCGTGCCCTCTTTCTTCCCACCTTACTCCTCGTCTGCCTCTTCCAAACCCCTGTGAATTTCACCAGATTCTGCTTTTGGACAACTGCACGTGTCCCTACCTGCACTAGGTTGTGCACTCCCCCTCTGTCCTGCCCAGCTGCTCAGGACACAAAATACACAATTGTGCTGCTCTGAAAAATCCTGCTCAATCCCACTCTGTGCTCCTGCCCTGGCAGCAAAAGGAGCTCTTCAGTGGTGCCTTCTTCAGCCACTCGTCTCCTGCACTCAACCTTGTCCATGGCCATGCCCTTTTCAAGCTGCAAACTCCATTTTGCTGATGCCAAACAGCTTTGCATTCAGCGGCACAGGGTTTGAGCAATGGCACACACAAATCATCCTTTTGGCAAGGGGAGAAATTATCCAGTTTCCAGGCAGGCTGGGAGTGTTTCGTAACCTCTTTTTATGTACCTTCAGCCCACTAAAAGTAAAAGTTCCCTCTTGCTTGCCTTAAACAACAGAAGCGCTCACGTTGCTGTTGCATCTGCCTCATACACCACTTCATTTTGCCACTTCATTTTGCATTTCACTCTTCACAAGGCCAGTGTTTACTGAACATTGTTTGGCTTCACGTACAGCTGAGTACTCCAGTGTTTCTGCTGTCCCACCACATCCCACCCAACCAGCAACCCCCAGAAACAGCACAGGACAGCTGTGTAGCTCTAGAAGTGTGTGCTGCAGTGTGCAGAGACCCGTGTTGTACTCCTCTGGCTTTGGTGATTGTAGGACAACTGTCTGGGCTTTTTGTCAAAGGTGAACCTTCCTGTGCAATGAATTCTTCTCGGTTGCTTCCAGGTTATCAGGTGCAGGGCTGCTGTTGCCTGGGCCCCCAGCAAACCTCTCTCTGTTGAGGAGGTGGAAGTTGCACCTCCAAAGGCAGGGGAAGTCCGGATCAAGGTAAAATCATTATTGCAATTTTTTTTCTCCCTTGTGGGAATTGCTCTCCTTGTGGCTGTACATTGGATACAACCAAACGATCTGTGTCCTCTCATAGGCCTTAACAGTCCAGAGAAGTTCTGTGAAAAAATCTTCCACAAACTGAGATAAACAGAGGCTGGACTATTTCTAGAAATCACCATTTACTCTTTCCTCTACAAACAGATTGTGGCCACAGGCATCTGTCATACAGATGATCACGGTTTGAGAGGTTCCTTTCCTAATGTAGATTTCCCAGTTATACCAGGCCATGAAGGAGCCGGGATTGTGGAAAGCATTGGAGAAGGAGTGACCTCTGTGAAACCAGGTAACCAACACACACTCAAACACACACCCAGGATTCAGGCCTCAAATCTCTGCCAAGAGCTCAGAAACTTCCCCCTGCTCCCGAGTCAGTGGTTAAAAACCTGAGCGCACACAAATTGCTCTGGACTCTCATGTCCACTTTCCCAATCTGTTCCTCCTGTAGATGAGTGGGGCATAGAGCATTCATCCTCACAGGGAAAGCAGAGGGCTCATGGTAGGTTTCTGCCCTCAAAAAGCTCAGGAGATGTGATTCAACAGGCAGTGCCCTCAGGGTCTACTGAGCAAAAGGCACCTAACAAAGATCCACTGTGTTGCAGGGGACAAAGTGATCCCACTTGCCATCCCTCGGTGTGGGGAATGCAGCTTCTGCCGCAATCCTGACTCCAACTACTGCCAGAAGTTCCAGTGAGTTTGCTTTGCTTTCCCCTACACCTGCACGGGGTTGACTTTGTGACAAGTCTGACAACTCCCATCAGTGCTTTAGTCAATCAAATAGAAATACTTGCTTCTCTCCACAGTTTCTCTGAACCACAAAACCTGCTGCCAGACAAGACCAGCCGCTTCTCTTGCAAAGGGAAGCAGATCCACCACTTCATGTGGATCAGCACCTTTGCCGAATACACCGTGGTCCCAGAGTACGCCGTTGCCAAGATCGATGCTGCGGCACCTCTGGACAAAATCTGCTTGTTTGGCTGTGGGTTTTCCACTGGCTATGGGGCTGCCATCAACACAGCCAAGGTCGGTATTTAGGTGTGTTTAGCACACCATGGCCACCCTCACAACCTCATCAATCCTGAGCAAAAGAAACCTCCCCTGCTCCCTCCTCCTCTCCTCTTCCTGCTGGAGACTCACAGGGTCCCATCTGTGCAGGTAAAACCAGGCTCCACCTGTGCCATCTTTGGCCTCGGAGGAGTTGGCCTCTCCGTCGTCATGGGCTGCAAGGCAGCTGGAGCTTCCCGCATCATTGCCGTGGACATCAACAGCGACAAGTTCTCCAAGGCCAAGGAGCTGGGAGCCACCGACTGCATCAACCCCCGAGACTTGAGGAAGCCCGTCCAGGAGGTGCTCACCGAGATGACCGGGCAGGGCGTGGACTACTCCTTTGAGGCCATCGGGCTCGCAGACACCATGGTAGGTGGCGCTTCTGCACCTTTCCTCCCTCCCACATCAGCACTGGCTCCTCTCAGGGCAAAATTCACCCCCAAGGGAAGCTCCTCACCTGCTGCCTGCAATGCAGGAGGCACAAAGGCCGCCTGCTGCCTTGAGGATGAAACAGCGTACAAATCTTAAACGAGGCCACAAGCCCTCCAGCTCTGCTCCACAAGGGGGGATGTGTTTTAACATTACCTGGGAGGAGCAGGAATTTGCACAGAAAGAACACTCCCCTGACAAACTCACCAGGGCTTTCTCTAATACTCCTGCCTGTCCCATCAGATTGCTGCCTTGGCTTCCTGCAATATGAATACCGGTGTCTGTGTGATGATTGGGGAACTGGATTCTGGTTTAAAAATTTCCATCGATCCCATGCTTCTGGTGACTGGGCGTACCTGGAAAGGGACTATTTTTGGAGGTATAAGACTTAAGAATACAGTCTAAATATTTCAGCTTTTCCTTTCATGGTAGTTGACAAGATAAAGTAAGGAGGGTTTTCAAGTAGAAGACAACTAAAGAGGAGCATGCATTGCCTGCATTAAACATTAGCATGACACATGCAAATAGTCCTCTGCTTGTTTCACACAGAAACCCCTCATCCTAAAGAACAGAAAATCTCTCACAAGACTGTGGCACCAGCATTGGTCTCTCAGTCCTGACCCTCACAGTAGCACTACCCTACCTTAACACCCTTACTCCCATTAGTTGTGCAGCTGCTTTCTCCTCTTTCTAGGCTGGAAATCAAGGGAATGTATCCCCAAATTAGTTTCCAGCTATTTGGAGAAGAAATTCAATTCAGACTTGCTGATCACACACACGCTGCCATTCGCTGAAGTGAACAAGGGATTTGAGTTGTTACGTGCTGGAAAAAGGTGAGACCCTGACCAGCAGGAACGAGGTACAGCAAACCTCAACACCTCCTCCTAAAATTCCAGCAGGCAGAGCAGGCAACACTGGCTTCCCAAAGAGCACCTGAGCCTTTTGAGGAAGCAGGGCCTCACAGCTGAGTGGTGCCAAGAGCTGCCATAGCCCAGAGGGAAGAGCCCATGTGCAGCACAGGGAACCCTCCTGCTCATGGCTCAGCTCAGCACAGATCCTGTGGCCTTATTCCCTGAGGGCTCCCCTCAGCAGGGATTTGAAGGCTGCCCCACTGCCTGCTCCTGAGCTGCAGCAAACCTTCCCTTCCCTTCCACTTTTCAGTATCCGCACTGTCCTGCTCTTCTGAAGGACACAGCCAAGGAAGCCCAGCAGAGGGACCAGCACAGCAGATGCTCTCCTGGCCCTGGCACCTTCTCAAGGTGAACAAGGAATTCACCTGTGCTGATGCCACTGCTGCTCCTGCTGTGCCTGGACAGGACATAGAAGGATGTCTCTCCCAAGAAAACACTTTTACTAATAAAGGTTTTTAAACCAACTCATCTGACACAGTGCACTCAATCAACAGAGATGCCAGGGCCTTGGGACAACTGGCTGATGGATCAGGAGCACAGCTAGTGATTTCCTTGACCTGTCTAAAACAAGGTATTATACTGATAGGAATAGGCAGGTCCATCTGGTTAATGTATGGCTCTGAGGGAGGTGTAAGCAAAAAAATATTGGGTTTTTTGACTGTGGGGTGAACTATTCAACACCTGATTTACTGACACCTGACAGGATGAGCCTTTCTCAGAGGGGAAAAGGAATTTTAGCACAGGAGCTAGCAAAGCTCTTTGATAGAGCTTTAAACTGGAAATGGGAATTGGAAAATACCAGGCTGGTCAGTGACGAGCAGTGCAATTGTGCGCCAAAACATGAGGAAAGGAGCACTAATGGGATCCCTCAATCTGCTCCACAAGTGTTGGCTACCAAGTAGCACATGTGGAAATGTTTCTGTACCAATGAATGCAGCTTGAGGAACAACCAATGATGACCTCAAAAGTTTCAGCCAGTGCCAGAGGCTCGATATCATTGGCATAGGTGAAACTGGTGGGACAAGCTCTGTGACTGGAGTGCCCTGTTGGATGGTTACAGACTCTTTGGGAGGGAAAGGCAGGGCAGAAGAGACAGGGGGGTGGCACTGTATGTAATAGAAGGGTTGGAATGTATGCAGCTGTAATGGCACAGTTAAGAGCCTCTGGGTGAGAATCAAGGAGCAAACAAAAAATGTGGATGTCACCATGGGTGTCTACTGTAGACCTATCAATTTGCTCAGTACTATTCTCTCCTAAGTTTTCTTTCTTTGATTCATATTCATCCTCTTTAGATCCTGATCTTAGTTTGGAGGCCTTTTTCCTGGACTAGTTTTAATCTTGGAACAACCTCAGAGAAATTGCCACTCTGTAACGGGGAAGAAACATTACATGTGCATTTATGTCCCATCGCATATAAACGTGGGTGCTTGAGGTGCTATACCTAGGCTATCAGCAATCATAAAGTACAATTCCTCCTTACACTGCATAGTGAAATTCTGTAGGACTGACTATGATCACAGCACGTCTGACAAAGGAATTCATTCTGAATGAATGAATGCACAAAAAAAAAATATAAAAGGCAAGGCTATGATCCTAATGGGTCTCCCCCAAGTTAAGATATTCCATCATTACAATAGCATTTTGAGTCCATACAATAGCATGGACTCAAAATCAGCAATTGCTGGAAGAATCCTGTTCTCTGTTTTAACATTTTTTTTCCTGCACGCATTCTCCTTCACTAGGGTGAACAGAAGCAATAATTGTTCATTTTAATAGACCTTTATCAATATTTTTTTAATATCTCTTCTATGTACAATATATCAGGGTGGATCTAACTTCCACTTTCCTTACCTCATTTGCCTCATTCCACTATCATTTTGTACAAGGTCCACAATATTTCTGTTCTAATGGAAATTAAAGCATCAGGGCATCTTATGGAATAGTGAACTATCAATACTGCTAACAAATGCAAAGCCATATTATCTGCTAGGATATTATCTAGTTTGTCCTTCACAGTAGAATGCAAAAATTGTCTCTGAAACGGGAGCCCAGTTCCACTGTGGACAGAAATGGAATGCTGAGTCATTAATAAAGGCACTAATATTGGGCTCTGACTTTTAATTAAAAATTACTGAAGCTTGCTGCACGTAGCAAGCTTACTAAGCTGTACTTAGCCCTCCTAAGTGCATTTCAGAGTCTATTCCACAGAGATTTCTGTCATATATTCTTCCATCTTTCCACATCTTTGATACAGACAGCAAACAACCAGAACATAAAGAGGACAACAGCAAACTGACTACTACCAAGATGAAGACAAACACCTTGATGTCTATGCCTGTGTGTACTAACATCTGACCTCACAGATCAGCTATTAAAGCTTATAAAATACTTAAATATATACAGCAAGTCAGGGCAGCACTTACTGTAGAATGCAGATAACACAGGATCTGCCATTAAAAGGTTAATCATTAAATCCATGCCTGCTGACATACAAGTTTGATCTTATTTTCCCTCCATTACCTGGATAAGAAGGAAACCACAACAACAATCACCTGCTGTCTGAAATACACACAAAAAGCTGCACAGCAACAGGATCTCAGTATCAACTCCCTGCAATGATTACCATACATTTCAAATGTTTTGCAGAGCTGCCAGCTCCCCATGGCACTTTACAACTGCAAGCAGGGCAGACAGAAATTCTCAGACCTATGTTGAATTCACATCAGTGGAGGGTTTGCAAATTTGGGGGACTAGAGCATCACAGGGATGTTTTAAGGAAAAATACCAGTACACATTTGAAAGATCTTTTTACAACCATGGTGTAGGTTTTACACTCAACAGCAGACATTAGACAAGTCTTAAGAGCCAGCAAATGGCAGCACAAGTAGCAGATTTATGTCCTTATGTGTGAGATTAAATTATGAGCCATATGTATGGAATGCTATCTAGGAAGCAGGTGAATGATTTTATTTTCTCTTCATTCTCAGCCCTCTACAGGACTTTGATATTTGTTGGTTTCAGCTTCAAACACTGAAGGATATTAGGAAGAAACTCTTTATTGTGAGAGCGCTGAGGCTCTGGAACAGATTGAGGAGAAGTTGCGGATGCCGCATCCCTGGCAGCATTCAAGGCCACTTGGATGTGGCTATGAGGAATTTCATCTAGTGAGAAGTGTTCCTGCCCATGGCAGGGGGTTGGAACAACATGATCTTTAAGGGCCCTTCTAACCCAAGCCATTCTGTAATTTTGTGAAGGACATGTGAATCAGCTGTAGAGATGAGTGTGTCAAGCTTGAGTCTATAGAGTAATGCTCTCCTGATTCATGAAAGCTACATTTTTTTCTGATCATGTCTAATACTTTTTACTAATCCAAATGTCGACATGATTTTTGATTAAAAATAAATAAATTAGTTTTATTTATTTATATATCTGTGTGTGTGTGTGTGTGTGTGTGTGTGTGTGTGTGTGTGTGTGTCTGTGTGTAATGTGTCTCAATAGCCAAAGGGCTAACTTCTGCTCATTATAGCATTCAAAATGGTTAGCAATGCAAAAAGGGGGTTTATGTCATTAGTGGAAGTCTTCTAGGAAATGACCCCATTCCTTAGGTTTGAAAAAGTGTCCTTTCAGCCACATGGAAAGAAGATTCCTTTCTAACTGTGGCAGTTACATCACACTCTGGGTGTTCATCTTAACCTGCTCCTCCAACAAGCTCTTGCTCATCCAATCCCTGCAATAGATCATCTTGTCCAATGCCTCGGCAGAAAACACCTCTGGGGGAACCTGAAAAGCCTGGGTGGAGTGAACTCACTCACAAACCTGATCGCACCACAGTGAAGCAAGTGTGCCCTTGGGGAAAAAAAATCCTCTTCTGACACATTCTGCCCTTACTGCTCTGATGCAAATAGCAGGAATGACAGACAGCAAAGCTTCAACCCAGGAGGATGTGTCTTTGTCCACCACATTTTCACTGCCATTTGTTTTGGGGTTCTTTGGTTGGCTTTCTTTTTATTATCATTTTTTTAATTTTTAATCACTTTGCAAATATTGTGGTGTGAATGGCCACTAGGTCAAATGCTCCAGCCTGGCAAAAAGGGGACTCCTTTGGTTGGAGGAAGCCACACCAGTGCCACATTTCTCCTCCTTCCACACCTGCCAGAAGCAATAAAAGAACCCTTCTGAGCTCTCTGAGCCTTTAAGGCGGGGAGGGCAGGGGATGACCCAAGGGCAGGGTCACCGATAAAAGCCTCCCCGGAGGACTTCTGCCCCCATCCATCTCCCTGCCGCTATCCAACTCCTCCCCTCAGCACTCGCTGTGCTGCCTAGCACCCAGCATCCGACACAGATTAACCAGCGCTCTCCAGCTGCGACGCTGCCGCACCGGGGCTGCTCCCGCTCCACGCCTGGGGAATTCCACAACGCGGGGCTTGGGCCACACGGGCCAGAGGCACCTTCCCTCCAGCCGGCGACAGCGACAGACACAGCTCTGCTAAGACCACATGGCCACTGCCGGAAAAGTAAGGACATCGCATTTCCCATCCTCCTTCCCGAGGTGCCCTGCTCCTGGCGAAATCGCTGCAAAAGGCTCAGCCTGCGCTCCACTCTGCATGCCCTCTTTCTTCCCACCTTACTCCTCCTCTGCCTCTTCCAAACCCCTGTGAATTTCACCAGATTCTGCTTTTGGACAACTGCACGTGTCCCTGCCTGCATTAGGTCGTGCACTCCCCCTCTGTCCTGCCCAGCTGCTCAGGACACAAAATACACAATTGTGCTGCTCTGAAAAATCCTGCTCAATCCCACTCTGTGCTCCTGCTCTGGCAGCAAAAGGAGCTCTTCAGTGGTGCCTTCTTCAGCCACTCGTCTCCTGCACTCAACCTTGTCCATGGCCATGCCCTTTTCAAGCTGCAAACTCCATTTTGCTGATGCCAAACAGCTTTGCATTCAGCGGCACAGGATTTGAGCAATGGCACACACAAATGAAAACTTGGTAAGGGAAAAAAATTATCCAGTTGCAAATAAAAAAGGGACAATTCCATAACCCTTCTCACTCCCTTTCAGCCCAGTGTGTCACAGAGCTCACATCAAAGCTCTCCACAGGCATTTCCACCTGGTAGAGTCCACAGTCCCCAAGACAGCACAGACTGGCCAATAACATATGGGGATATTATGAAAAATCCACCAAAGCCATCAAAACCCAATAATTTTCCAAGGTTCTATCTGATTATCTTTGGTTGACAAACCACAAATGAGGTTTCTTCAGACCTTAAACTGAGCCAGTGTTTATTGGATATCACTTGGCTTCAGGTGCAGCTGAGCATCACCAAGTTTGAACACCTCAGGTTCAGATGATTGTAGGATGACTTCCCCCTGCCGTGTGCTAAAGCCAAATGTCCCTATGCAATGAATTCTTCTCGGTTGCTTCCAGGTTATCAGGTGCAGGGCTGCTGTTGCTTGGGCCCCCAGCAAACCACTCTCTGTTGAAGAAGTGGAAGTTGCACCCCCAAAGGCAGGGGAAGTCCGGATCAAGGTAAAAATACATTTCAGTATTTTTTTCTCTTCCTTCCTTGTGGGAATTTCTCTTCTTGTGATTATACCTTCAGTATAACTCAAGGATCTATGTCACTAAAGGACATGAAATGATTCACACAAATGCTTCTTGGTGTCAGAACTATTTATAGATTCTCAACAATGACCAGGGATTGGATAATTAAGTTACCACCTTCCCAAGCACACTGGTCACGCGAAACGTCTATCAAAAGACGTTTCTTAGAAGTAATGTGGTAAGCAACTTATGTTTATAGAACTTTCATGGAAAAGTAACTAAAACTATGAAAACATTATCAGAAGACTTTAATTTTCAGGGTGACAGATCTGCGTCCTCCAAGAGGTTTTAATTGTCCAGAGCTGCCTTGGCTCAAATGCACCATCTGCCAGGGGCTCATTTTTTGCCTTATCATTGCCTAAGCTATCACATAGGAATTCCTGTCTCCAGCCCTTGCTCTGCTGGACAGGGCCCTGATTCCCACACTGTGGCCTCCCTTCCATTACCACCTCCAGCTCAGTGCAGAGGAAAGTCACAAGGAGCACTCAGAGTGAGCAGAAGGGTGTCATGGGGTGACTTTAAGACAGCTTCGGGAGCTGGGAGGAAGTTGAAGCTGCGAGAGGCTGATGGGAGTCTTTTCTTGTGACCAATTATCGGTCATTTCTAAGAATTGACAGCAGTTTTGACCATTGAGAAGTGAGATCAACTTGTGAACACCACTTTAAGATGTAAGGCCAGGGCTCACTTGTTCTCTTTGGTTTCTGGCTTCTGACGAGGTAACAGGCTCTGTCTTGGCCTCCTCCCCCCTCTCCAGGCCCGACAAGGCCGCAGAGGGTGAGGGGGGAGAAACAGAGCCGGCCGGCGTGGCTTGGTTTGCAGTTTGTGCTGCTGAACTGAAACCTGAAAACATGAACATCTGGAGCTTTCTAAGACTTGAACTCTTTTACTACCTGGATGAGACTTAAAGATTACTCCTTTTTCCCAGAGAAACAGAGAGAGAGCGGGATAATTAACATGAAGAAGACATCACAAAACCATCAAAGACAGTGGAGAAAAGAGTTAAGTTTTAGATGGGGAAGAGAGAATAAGGAGATGCTTTATAAGCTGAAATACTTTTCTGTTAAAGCTATGGAGATGGACAATAGTGTTCTGAAAAAAAACTTTAATTCATGACAGAGTATATTGGGAGGAATGGAGTGTTCAAAGTGTGGATTTTGAGCAAAAGGTAGAGTAATTGTGATACAGTGAGGTGCTGGAACAGAGGGGGAGAAGTAATAGTTGAAGATTTGAGGCCACTTGAGGCAAAGAGAAAACTTCTGTTTCCAGGGAGGCTCACAGAGACAGATGAAGAGAACTTTTGCCTTTGAATAACTCATCCTTAAAAATGACATCCCTAGGCTCATTGACCCATACACACCTCAGAGTGATGGGAAATGGGAGAAAATCTGATGGCAGATTTTTTCCAGGCAGCTGGCATCGGAGAAATAACAAGCTATAACAGAAATAGTTTTCTTGTAAGAAACTCCATAAATTAGCAGAAGACTTCTGTTTCTCTACAAAGACTGATGAAAGGAGCCTAGCAAGAATAAAGACTGTTTTAAACACCAAAGTTCCAAAGTTTTTTGTCTCTGTGTTTTCATGTGAACAAGGGAATGGTTGGGAAGTGGAAGAAGAAGGGGTTTTCTGGAAATTTTATTCTGGTGTTCTTATTCTTGTAGTTTTGTTAATAAACTTTCTTTATTCCTTTTAAGTTTTAAGCCTGTTTTGCTCTTGTTCTAAACCCTATCTCACAGCAAGAAATAAATAAGTTTTCTAGTAATTTTTTTAGTTACTGCTTTAAAACCAAGACAAAGGGAAAAGCCAAGGCTCAGTGTTCTGCCATTGAGTGCCAGCACTGACTGAGGGGGCATCATAACACCCCTGAGAAAATTACTTCCACAAACTGAGTAAGGCAGAGGCCAGGTCATCTACTTTTTCCTCTCTAAATAGCTTGTGGCCACAGGCATCTGTCAGACAGATGATCACCTTCTGCAAGGCTGCTTTCCCAATGCAGAATTCCCAGTTATACCTGGCCATGAAGGAGCTGGAATTGTGGAAAGCGTTGGGGAAGGAGTGACCTCTATGAAACCAGGTAACTCACACTCATAAATCAACTCACAAATCAACTCTCACACAGGCAGCATCCTCAGAGCAACCTAACAGGGGATAGTATTTTCTTCCAGGTGATAAAGTCATGCCACTTTGCATCCCTCAGTGTGGGGAATGCAGCTTCTGCCGCAATCCTGACTCCAACTACTGCCAGAAGTTCCAGTGAGTTTGCTTTGCTTTCGCCTACATCTACATGGGGTTGACTTTGTGACAAGTCTGACACTCCCATCAGTGCTTTAGTCTATCAAATACAAATACTTGCATCTCTCCACAGTATTGCTGAACCACAAAACCTGCTGCCGGACAAGACCAGCCGCTTCTCTTGCAAAGGGAAGCAGATCCACCACTTCATGTGGATCAGCACCTTTGCCGAATACACCGTGGTCCCAGAGTATGCCATTGCCAAGATCGATGCTGCGGCACCTCTGGACAAAATCTGCTTGTTTGGCTGTGGGTTTTCCACTGGCTATGGGGCTGCCATCAACACAGCCAAGGTCGGTATTTAGGTGTGTTTAGCACACCATGGCCACCCTCACAACCTCATTAATCCTGTGCAAAAGAAACCTCCCCTGCTCCCTCCTCCTCCTCCTCTTCCTGCTGGAGACTCACAGGGTCCCATCTGTGCAGGTAAAACCAGGCTCCACCTGTGCCATCTTTGGCCTCGGAGGAGTTGGCCTCTCCGTCGTCATGGGCTGCAAGGCAGCTGGAGCTTCCCGCATCATTGCCGTGGACATCAACAGCGACAAGTTCTCCAAGGCCAAGGAGCTGGGAGCCACCGACTGCGTCAACCCCCGAGACTTGAGGAAGCCCATCCAGGAGGTGCTCACCGAGATGACCGGGCAGGGCGTGGACTACTCCTTTGAGGCCATCGGGCTCGCAGACACCATGGTAGGTGGCGCTTCTGCACCTTTCCTCCCTCCCACATCAGCACTGGCTCCTCTCAGGGCAAAATTCACCCCCAAGGGAAGCTCCTCACCTGATACCTGCAATGCAGGAGGCACAAAGGCCGCCTGCTGCCTTGAGGATGAAACAGGGTACAAATCTTAAACGAGGCCACAAGCCCTCCAGCTCTGCTCCACAAGGGGGGATGTGTGTTTTACCATTACCTGGGAGGAGCAGGAATTTGCACAGAAAGAACACTCCCCTGACAAACTCATCAGGGCTTTCTCTAATTCTCCTGCCTGTCCCATCAGATTGCTGCCTTGGCTTCCTGCAATATGAACACTGGTGTCTGTGTGATGATTGGGGTAACAGATTCAGAAATTTCCATCGATCCCATGCTTCTGCTGACTGGGCGTACCTGGAAAGGGACTATGTTTGGAGGTATAAGACTTAAGAATACAGTCTAAATATTTCAGCTTTTCCTTTCATGGTAGTTGACAAGTTAAAGTAAGGAGGGTTTTCAAGTAGAAGACAACTAAAGAGGAGCATGCATTGCCTGCATTAAACATTAGCATGACACATGCAAATAGTCCTCTGCTTGTTTCACACAGAAACCCCTCATCCTAAAGAACAGAAAATCTCTCACAAGACTGTGGCACCAGCATTGGTCTCTCAGTCCTGACCCTCACAGTAGCACTACCCTACCAAAACACCCTTGCTCCCATTAGTTGTGCAGCTGCTTTCTCCTCTTTCTAGGCTGGAAATCAAGGGAATGTATCCCCAAATTAGTTTCCAGCTATTTGGAGAAGAAATTCAATTCAGACTTGCTGATCACACACACGCTGCCATTCGCTGAAGTGAACAAGGGATTTGAGTTGTTACGTGCCGGAAAAAGGTGAGACCCTGACCAGCAGGAGCGAGGTACAGCAAACCTCAACACCTCCTCCTAGAATTCCAGCAGGCAGAGCAGGCAACACTGGCTTCCCAAAGAGCACCTGAGCCTTTTGAGGAAGCAGGGCCTCACAGCTGAGTGGTGCCAAGAGCTGCCATAGCGCAGAGGGAAGAGCCCATGTGCAGCACAGGGAACCCTCCTGCTCATGGCTCAGCTCAGCACAGATCCTGTGGCCTTATTCCCTGAGGGCTCCCCTCAGCAGGGATTTGAAGGCTGCCCCACTGCTGCATGTCTCATGCAGCTCAGTCAGGAAGAGGCTGGATGATGACAAAGAAGGGGCCAGACCCCAGGCACACCTGCCTGCCCCACTGCCTGCTCCTGAGCTGCAGCAAACCTTCCCTTCCCTTCCACTTTTCAGTATCCGCACTGTCCTGCTCTTCTGAAGGACGCAGCCAAGGAAGCCCAGCAGAGGGACCAGCACAGCAGATGCTCTCCTGGCCCTGGCACCTTCTCAAGCAGCACCTCCTTGTGGGGCACAAGGAGAAGAGAACAAGGAATTCACCTGTGCTGGTGCCACTGCTGCTCCTGCTGTGCCTGGACAGGACATAGAAGGATGTCTCTCCCAAGAAAATGCTTTTACTAATAAAGATTTTTTGTCAAACTCATCCCAGGCACTGCATTCAATCAAAATTGTTTCCAGACGACAGGAGGAGCTCCCTCTCACCTCGAGGGCTCTTCCTCTACATCCTTAGTCTCAGCAGTGAGCAACAGCCTTTGCCCCTTCTCTGCTGCTGCCTCCCACCTTCATTTGCCTCAATGAGGTGTGCCCTTTTCTCTGTCTCCATCTCAGCTGGGTGATTGCTGCAGCTTCCAGCAAACCCAGCAGGGAAACAACCCCCGCTGCAGGTGCTCTAAAGCATATTATATAAAGCAGTAGATAACTTTCTTATTACGATGTAACACTCATACAGCATTCATGGATCTAGTTTAACTTTAGCAAATGCTCTTGTACTTTTAATATATTTTCTGCACCAAGTCCCACAGTATATTATAGTACAACTCTGAAAAATCTTCCCCAAAAAACAGGACTGTCACTCTAGGATGGTCATTCTGCTAAATGGATCCTTCTTTCACTGCTGAGCATTGGACCCATAGCACTATCATGTCTTTTGACCTCTTTTGTGCAATACTTATCACATCCCATCGCCCTTTGAACTTCTGGAAATCCCTTAGCACAATCAGCAATTACACAGAATGTCATGAACACACAAATGAGTTATCAAAGGTAAAAAAATCCCTTCCTGTCTGCCAATTTTAGTAACTTCTGCACATATCACTCTGCTACGACAAAAAAGTTAGCTATGATTCTCTCAACTACTTTTTAAACATAAGACAGTAAGAGTGCTGGTAATGAGTTAACACTATTATAATTCAATAAATGTTAATAAATTGAGTTCTAGCACTTCCCTACTGAGAAAGCTCCAAGTTCCTTCCAATAAACAATGTTTCTCTAACACTGCACATGCAACTGCACAGTCTTAATTTAATCAAACGTAATCAATGTAATCAATTTGCCAAGTATCTATCTAACAAATATAAACACACAAATAAATCTGTGCAGGACTGGGACAAGACATAGTACTCCTTTTTGATAAAAATCTAAACTTAGATGAAAAACAAGTTCACTATAAAAAAACCTCTGCCTAAAGTAAATTGTAACTTTAGGGTTAGCAGTTCTTTAGAACTGCTGATAGGTGAAAAATTGCGTAAACCCTTCTGAGTGCTGAGCTCCCTTCTACCGCAGGGCCACCTGGTGGTCACCGGTCCCTGCTCTCCGGGCATGCTGCCTTGCATCTCGGAGATCCTCCTGCCTCTTTAACAACAAACACTAACTGAGCAGCACTTCAAATTTTAGCAGATAATTAGTGAGCTCCTCAAATTCTGCTTGATTCCTAAAACATCACTTGTTTCACAGCTGGCCAAATAATTACATTTGGAAGCAAAAACATTTATAGAAAACAGAAGAAAACGATGCCAAGTGCAAAGAAGGAGGTGACAGCACTACTCTTTCCCCACTTTCATCTTTCAAATTTCCCTTGCATAGTTAGTTTAATATTAACATATTAAAATCAGCACATATATGATCAACTTTTTGAGTTTTATTTGGTTTTCAATGAATGCAGAGAATATTTAATAGCAAAACTCCCCGAATTACTTATTTCCATATCTAGAATATTAAATTAATTAATAATATTAATATTAATGTTATTTATATTAATTTCCATATCTAAATATATTAAACAACATTCAGCATCCCAGCTTCTTGTGTCTCTACTGCAAAACTGTCCTGGTCACTTTCATACTTGGGTATATCAGATTTGTTTTGAAAAGTTATTTTACTCTAGTATACTTCAGAATTATACTAAGATTAATTAGTGAAATTATTTCTAAAGCTTTTCCTTTGGAACCAATAATTATAATATTTATATTTATAAAAGCAGAATATTTCAATTACCTAAGAATTATCCAAAGAAATACCAACCAGCTTTGAGCATTTTTGGACATAGTCTCAAACTGCATCAGGGCAGGTTTAGGTTGGATTAGGAAGAATTTTTTCACAGAAGGAGTGATTAAACATTGGAATGGATTCCCCAGGAAAGTGGTAGAGTCACCATCCCTGGAGGTGTTTAATGAAACACTGAACGTGGCACTCAGTTCCACGGTCTGGTTAACGTGGTGGTGTTCAAAGGTTGAACTCAATGATCTCAGAGGTCTTTTCCAACTTAAATCATTCTGTGTTTCTAAATTAAAACAATTCTGATTCTTAAAATGTTTCCATTTCTTAACCAGCTACACTTCATAAAATTAATTGATACTCACTTGAGGAATGACAAGAATTTCTAGCTTTTTTCCTTTTTATGCTTGTCATGAAGTGACTTTACCTTTAAGGTAGTTGTGAGAAATAAGGAAGTTAAAGTTGCTGGGGACTGAAAGGAGTCTCTTCTCCTGACCAATTATTGGTCATTACTGGGAATTGACAGCAATTTTAACCATTGAAAAGGGAGATCAACTTGTGAACCCTACCTTAAGATGTAAAGCTAGGGCACTTGGGTTTCCTTCGTTTCCTGGCTGTGAAGGGTGGCAGAGCTCCAGGCCTCCCGTCCCTGCCCAGGCCATGCGGCCGGGCGGGGATGGGGCCGGGCCTGCCCCGTCTCCCGGCCGGGAGATGGGGGGGCCTGGGGAAGGTTTTCCCCGGGCTGGGCCAATCTCTGGCTTGGCTGCAGGTTTTGCTGTAACTACATTCACTAGAAACTGCCCAGTGAAGAAGGAGAGAGGCTCTGGACCTGCAGCGGGCTGGGGCGGCGACTACACTCTCCAGAGCAGCCATGAGGAACCTTCCATCACAGACGGCTCCAGCTCCTGTTCGGCAGAGATCACAGAACCATCTACAAAAGCCTGGGCAAGATTTTAACTCTTTCATTACCCAGATGAGACTTGGGATTAATCTTTTTATCCAGAGAGAAAAAAAGAGAGTGATCAACATGAAAAGAGACTTTATAAACTATCAGTGACAGGAAAGAAATAAGCTTCAGGAAAGGTAGAGAATTAAGAAGATGCTTTAATTAAGCTGAAATATCTTTCTGTTAAAACTATGGAGATGGACAATGAAGTCCTGAAAAGAACTCCTTCAATTCATGATAAAGTATGTAGGGAGGAATAAAGTGTTCAAAGTGTAAATTTGAGTAAAGAGTAATTATGGTATAGTGAAGTGCTGGAAGATTTGAAGCCTTGAGAGGCAATGAGAAAACTGTTTTCTGGTGAAGCTCACAGAAACAGATGAAGAAGACTTTTTGCCTTTGAATAACTCATCCTTAAAATGCCATCCCTAGACTCATGGCCCATATACACCTCAGAGTGATGTGAAATGGAAGGAGTGAACTCTGATAACAGCAGTTCTGGGAAACTAACATCAGAGCAATGGAAAACTATAACAAAAATAGTTTTCTTGTGAGAAACTCTCTAAATTAACAGGAAGAAACTTCTGTTTCTCTACAAAGACTGGTGAAAAGACTGTAGCAGGAATTGGGACTGTTTTAACCATCAAAGTTCCGAAGTTTTTGTCTCTGTTGACATGTGAACAAGGGAATAGTGGGTAGATAGGGGATGAAAAGGTTTTTCTGGAAGTTTATTCTGGTGTTCTTATTATTGTAGTTTGTCAATACACTTTCTTTATTCCTTTTAAGTTTTATGCCTGTTTTGCTCTTGTTCTAATCCATATCTCACAGCAAGAAATAAGTAAATTTTTTAGTTACTGGTTTAAAACCACGACAATGCTGCACAAATATTATCCTCCAGTACTTCACAGGAAAATGTACGAAACTTAAATCAGACTTCAAAAGGATGGTTTTGAGAGCAATGCCCCACAAAAATAGAGTTATATTCAAGCATCTACTGCTGGAACTAGTGCACAGATTATCCCAGCTCTAACAGGGCTGCTTTAATGAAATATTTCTATCAAAACTACTGGTTTTATTCAGCAAATTTATAGAATTGCTAGAAGGAAAATTACCTGTGTGTCAATCTAGGACCATATCTGCTTGGGAAAAACAAACCAGGCAACATTTGTACTAATGCACTTCAGTTTTGCCTCTGGGTAGACTTGTCAGTCTGCTCCACCCTCCCTGTGCCTTGCCAATCTGTTCACCAGTATGTGAGGCTGCAGCCAGCAGGTCCAGTGCCAAAGCACCAGCTCCTCCTCCTGACTGAGGCACACAGCCAGCTTCTGCCACTGGCACTCAGACTGTCCCACGATGGGCACCCTGGAACATCACTTGCATCTTCATTCAGCCATACACTGCCAGGCAAGCTTGCAAGTGATTTCTTGCCCCGTATCTTCCTGTGCTTCAAAGTTAAACTAAGGTACAGAAAAACCCTCACTGGAAAACTAATGCCTCTAGGGCAGGCATAATAACAGTTAAAAAAAACAGTTAAAAAAAAAAAAAAAATAAAAAGAAAAAAATGTAATACACATGCCTAGTTGTTTTGGACTTTTCTCCCCGTTTGGTACATGAAGCAGACCACATCCACCAAACAAGAACATGATGCCAGGTCTCCCTCCCACATGCCCAGAGTGCTTCCAAGTGCCCCTTTTTACCCAATCCAAATTATGTTCCTGATTAATACGTAACACCTGATAGAACAACACCAAAACCAAACCAATGTAAAATCCAGAGCGGTAATGGAAGTCCTCACCTACAGAACTTAAATACATAAAAACCTGAAACATGTGACAAGGCCTAGATAGTTCAGTCAAGAGCATGGAGTGGTAACCTGATTGGCTTGCACGGTGCTGAGAACAGAAATAAAGCTGCAAAAACACTTATGATGTCCAGGGGCTTCCAAAAGTACTCAGCAATACTGGGGATGGCATCATGAAACTGCAAGGGAAGGAAAGATGAAAAAATAAACAACTTCTTTCATATCTGAAATTGGACAATGAGCACTAAAAAGGTCTGATTTATATATCTGTCCCTTTGTCCACCAGAATCAGTGCCTACAATGTTCAGACTGTCAAAGATACTAAAAAAAGCAGAGCATCTGTGGAGTTTAGCTAAACATAATATACTTGGAGGTTTTTTGGAAGCACTGACAAACCAGGAAATTT